GAGAGTTGGACGCGCGCTGAAGCTGCGTGGAGGGAACGCGCCAGCTGAGGCACGGGCGTGCTGGGGACGCGCGTGAGATGGAGTGGGGAAGGCAGCGGCGCTGCTATCCCTCTCTCTGATCGACTTGTACGGCTCGACTGAAAGGCTTGACTCCGGGTGGTTGAAAACATGGCTTTCATGGCTTATTTTTGTGTAGCTTTTACACTGCTTTTTATCTGCAAATAATTAAGCAAAAACTAGACAAATTCTAATTAAAAATATTATGAATAAAAATAATGGATTTGTTTAATTAAAGCTTAAATATTTTAATATTATATAAATCAAAAGCAATATTTATGGTGCATTTTCACGCACTAATCACAAGCTCCATCCGTTCTTTCCGCGCGCACCACTTGTCCAGCGTGGGTCTCACATCTGTTCAGTGCTAGCCTGCTTCTCTCTTCCACGTGCGACATCTGTCCCCAGCTGTTCTCCATTCTGCCCGCGCCATCACACTCTAACCAATCCGCGTACGACACGTGGCGCGTTTTTCTCCTCACTGCCAATCACGTTGCAACACATGTCCACTGAGTGCTGAGTCCGAATTTCTCCTTTAAAATCTAAGCAAATTGGCCAGATTTCTTCCCCAAATCATATATATGATTTCTCCTAATTTATGTGTAATTTATTTTGTTTCCGTTCTTTTGTAATTTTCTATTTTTATTATTTGTTTCCTTATTTGACAGGCAACCCCTGAACACTATAAATAAGAGGGTTAGCCTAAGGTTTTTGTAAGCTTTGAATATTCAGTTTTCTATCGTCTTGCTGTCAGTCTCATATTTTCTCTCTAGAACTTGTGAGAATGTTTTGTAAGCTAGGCTAGAGTTCTCTTGGTGAGGTTAGAGATGAACTTTTGTTAGTGACCCAATTCAGATTTTTGATTCTTTGTGCTGTAAAGTTCAATATTCGAATGAATAAAATCTCATCTATCTTTCATTTATTTTTCAAAATATTGTGTGCTAATTTTTATAAAAATTCAGTCATGCTTTTCTTATGTAATTCTGTCATGCACTATTCTATTATTCAAATTATTTTACAAATTGTCTTTTACTGCAATATTGTCAAATTGATATATTGTTGATTTTGGATAACATGTAATGATAATATTTCCGGAGTCAACATAGAGATTTAATTTGTTCGATCATTTTATTTTGTGAATCAAAACTTGAATTGGTGAACGAAACATTAGGGATTCTCGACACCTTATCGTTTTTATTACTGAATTTTCTTCATACAAATTTTCTCCTTTCTATTTTATTTGCAACAAAAATCTCAAAAAACTCTTCTTTTTCTTTAATTCAGTTGTTATTTATTTTTCTCTAACGCTCTTATTTTGCTAATCGTTCTTGTTTATTTTGTTACCTCTCTGTGGATACGACCGCCATTCTGTGCTACAATTGACCGCTTGTGATCATCACTTTTGGGCGTTAATCACCTCACGAGCACGTTGTGCATCGTATGTAAAATTTTACAACCCTTGTGATGTGAGTGATAGTATTTATTAGCGCGAGTCCACACTCCCACCTTAGTGCAACGGTAGATATGATTTTCAATGTCTATCCAGATGACCAGTACACTAACCCTTTTTATTAGAAAAGTACTTTTTATAATACTTACATACCGCATGAATTTCTATTTCACTTGTTTTTGGATTTGGCCGGGGCTCCTCTGTGAAATGCTACCATGCAAGAGAAGTTCGCGGTCTTTTTCCCCTGCTGCGTTCTCCAACTTCCTCGTTGTGCACTGAAGCATTATCAACCGGAGCATTTCCGGTTTAGTGGGGGTGGGGTTCTGAGCCATCATTTCATCTTTACAAAATGGCTCATCACCAAGCTCAGGGAGAGAAGTGAAATCAGGAAAGTTTGATGCGGTCATTTTCTGAAAATTGATTGAACTTAAACTTTGTAAATGAAAGAGCAAGAAAATGAGTGATCGCGAGAGAAAAGCTTAAAATCAAAATAAAAGAGACAAGATGAGAGATAAAATGAGAGTGAGATGAGAAGTTGAGAGTGAATTGTTGTATGAGATTAAGGGGTATTTATAGGGAATTTTAGGAGCTTTTTTCAGATTGTGACCGTTGGGCCCTTCGCGGGCCTAACGGCAGGCCCGTCACGGGCTGAAGGGCTTTTTAGCAGGCTGTTTTACGGGCCTGGACCGGGCCGAATAAGGGCCGAATCCGGGCTTAGGCTGAACTAGGCTTAGGCCAGGCCGCGGGCCTTCACAGGCTAGGGTCGAGCTTGGGCTGCGGGCTAAGAAGCCGCGGCCCAGCCCTAGCCCATCAAACGTGCCGGGCTGACGCAGCCCGTAACAGTACCGTACTGGGCCATGCCGAATTCGACACTGTTACGGACGGGGCGGTATTAAGCATGGTTTTGCGTGGCAGTATGGTTTTGATAAACCGTAGTTTGGCGGTTTGATAATGTGTCACATAAATGGCGAGAAGGAAGGAGGGTTTGCGGTTTTTTTGTGCACCCTAAGCCCGTAGACCAACAGGTTTAAGGTTTATTTAGTATGAGGATTCTCAAGGTTTGAACTATGGTTTAAGTCCAAACTCATGTTTATTTATAAAAAGTAAAAAGTAGTTTGCACCTAATCCAACAAAATCAGTATTTGGTTTGAAAAGAAAAGATTCAATGTTTGAACTCTAATGTAATATTTTAACCATACTGAACTCTGAAAAATAAAACCATCATTTCCTTGGTTTTGGCTGGCTTGATCTCCACGTTTAAATCACACTTGGTTCAAACTCAAAGATTCATAACTTGGCCCTTATTCCATTTCTTCGGAATGGCGGGGCGAAAATATTTTTTTCTTTTTAGAAGGTCGGTCTTGATTCCATTCTTTTGGAATTGTGGGCCGTTAACTCTTTATTTGTCGGCCCTTATCCCATTCCTTCGGAATGGTGGACCGTTAACTCTTTATTTATAAGCCATTTATTCTATTCCTTCGGAATGGCAACCGGATCTTTATAGGTAGAGGTTTAACCCTCTCCAAAGAATGGAAGAAGGCCGTGCCTAATATTATCACTTATTTGAAATATGAAATCGCGGCCTTTATAGAGAATATCAATTTTATACACTCCTGTCAGGACGGATTCTTCTCACCTGTTGAACTCTAAGATCAAACTCCACAATTAAAACTCATATGGCTTAAATTTCAAACCCCCTGATTTAGACCCGCGTACCAAACAGATCGTTAATTAATAGAAACGGCGGTTGCATAGAAACGAAAAAACGAACGGGCGTAGATGAGTACTGCCCCTTAAACCCTAATAATGTCATATCATCGTCTTCTTCTTGCTTGCAATTGGTAGAGGCTTAGGACAAAACCCTCACTCATTTCATCTCATCTCATCTCATCTTCACAGCCATGGCATCGCTACCTTTCAAGAGGAACTACCGCTGCGTGCCGTCTCTTCAGCAGTTCTACACCGGCGGTCCCTTGGTCGTCTCATCCGACGGCTCCTTTTTCGTCTGCGCCTGCGGAGATTCCATCAAGATGGTCGAATCCTCCAACGCCGCTATTCGCTTCACAATCGACGGGGGCGACTCTGAGGCCTTCACTGCTCTCGCGCTCAGCCCCGACGATAAGCTTCTCTTCTCCTCCGGCCACAGTCGTCAGATTAGGGTTTGGGATCTCAACACCTTCAAGTGCGTTAGGTCCTGGAAGGTAAATTGGACTTAAATGCTTTCTTTTCTCTTGAGAATTTGAAAAACATTTGCTTGGTTGTGAAAATTTAAGAAAAGCTTACATTGTGAAGCCGAAATGCTAGGACTCAACTGATTTCGGTTCGGTTCGGTTGTGTATAGAAATAAAGTGAATGAATTTGATTCTGTGGAGAGCGTGAGAATTGTTTGTTTGGTGATGAAATTAAAGAGAAGCTCACGTTGATTCCGTAGCGGAAATGGTAGTGTTATCCCAATCGATATGCTTCTGTCTCTGCAAAAGTGATTTATTTATTGGTTTCGGTATAGAAATAAAGTGAGAGAATTTGTTTCTGTGGGGAATTTGAAAAATGTTTGTTTGGTGATCGAATTAGAGAGAAGCTCACATTGTTTGGGTAGCAGAAATGGTAGTATTATAAAAATTGATATGCTTACTTGTCTATGCGAAAATGATTTGTTTATTTATATATTTACTTGTTGGTTTGGTTAGGGACACGATGGTCCTGTGATGGGAATGGCTTGTCACCCATCGGGGGGATTGCTTGCGACCGGTGGAGCTGATAGGAAAGTTCTGGTTTGGGATGTTGATGGAGGTTTCTGCACTCATTACTTCAAGGCTCACAAAGGGGTTGTTTCGAGTATTCTGTTCCATCCCGATCCCTCAAAACCACTTGTAAGTTCAATCTCAGGAATGATATGACCAGTTGTATACCAGGAATAATATGGCCATTTATCTTGTATTCTTGTATTTACTTGCACACATACATATCAAGTCATGGCGTACTTGTACTAAATTTAACTGGATTGCTGCTTGCTCCTCGCCATTTCAAGAAATGTAGGGTGCATTTGGAATTGGTTTCAAATTGATTTTGCTTTCAATAAAAAGTAAAAATGAGATTGTTTTGAGAATCATTCTGGGACTAATTCTGAAATTACGATTGGTTGGTTTTTTAAGAGATTGTTTTGAGTATAATAAAAAAGTGAAATCGTGTTTATTAATTAATATATTATAATATTGTTGATAAGTATTAAAAAATGAAAACAACTTTTAACTGTTTTCTAATTCTTTCACAAAAATCATTCTCACTGTTTTCGTTTTCATTTTCGTTTTCAAAAACATTTGCTAAACAAACGTCTTTCATTTTCATTTTCATTTTTTGCTTCTCGAAATACGTGAAAACCGTTTTCAAAAACAGTTCCAAACACGCACGTAGTATATTTTTGCAATTCCCGCATTGCATTTCCCTTGACTGTTGATTTGACTTTTTGTTTGATTGATCGTCCTCATTCTGAGGTGTTTTTAAAGGAGAGATGATATGACCATTTAATGTTGTATTTACGCTTGCTAAGATTAAGTGCAACTTGCTGCTTGGTCTTACCTGTTTCGAGAGAGATAATATCTTTCTTGCAATTCCGACATAATAGTCTATTGATCGTTGTGGATCAACGGTTGTAGCTTTTTTCCGGAAGTGATGATGCAACTGTACAAGTTTGGGATCTTTCAACTAAGAAGTGCTCTGCAACCCTGAATGGACATCTCTCAACGGTGACTTCTATGGCAGTATCTGAAGATGGTGGGACCTTGGTCAGTACTGGACGAGATAAGGTAGAGCTGATACTCCATAGTTTATTTATCATGCTCGGACCTTGTGTTGCTTTGTGCTATTTTAGAATTTTGGTTTTGTTTGGCAAGGAGCTGATGCGTGGAATGATTTCAGGTTGTAATGTTATGGGACCTTAATGACTACAGTTGCAAGAAGACTGTATTAACATATGAAGCTCTTGAAGCTGTGTGTGTTATACATTCTGGTTGTCCTTTTGCGTCATGTATTGGTTTGCATGATCAACAGATTGGAAAGCGAAGTGGGTTAAAGGGAATCTATTTTATAACAGTTGGTGAGCGTGGTATCGTACGAGTATGGAATTCTGAAAGGTATATCACGAGGATACTTTCCTATTACCATTCTTTTGTAATATTATATTGTTCATAATATTTGGATATGAAAAGTACTTGTTATCATGGCTTGGAGACCCTTGGGGACCTTTTAGATTTGTCTTGCTTATTGTTTGTTTGTATGTTTAAATTGTACTCAATCTTTATGAATTTAAGTTTATAAATGTTTTTATTTTGACAGAGCAGTCTGCCTGTTTGAGCAAAAGTCCTCAGATATTACTGTTAGTTCAGACACTGATGAAGCCAAAAGGGGTTTTACTACAGCCTTTATGCTACCCCTAGATCAAGGATTGCTTTGTGTGACTGCTGATCAGCAACTTCTTTTGTATTCCCCAGTCAAAAGCCCTGAAGGGATGTTGGACTTAGTCCTGAGCAAAAGACTTGTAGGGTGCAACGAAGAAATTGTTGATATGAAGTTTTTAGGTGATGACGAACAATTTCTTGCAGTTGCTACAAATACTGAACAGGTGACTTTCTTTGATCTGTTGTGTCCTAACTGTAGCTTGCAAGTTATGGATGTGGCTTTCATAGTTAGTTCCTAGTCGGTTTTGCTAAAATCTGTGCATGCTCAATAAATTAGGACTGATATTCATGCATGGTAATTATTTCATCAAGTGCATGCAAATTGCAAGTGTGCAACAAACTGATTAGTACCTACCAGTTATAAGCTTTAAGTTTTGAGCATCTTGCAAAATTTGGACTTGCAGGTACGAGTGTATGATCTCGCATCAATGTCATGTGATTATGTATTGACCGGTCATACTGAAATTGTTCTTTGCGTCGATACCTGTGTATCTAGTTCTGGAAGAACGCTTATTGTAAGTGGAAGCAAGGACAAAAGTGTAAGTTTCTTTTCTCTCTCTCTCTTTTTTTCCCTTGCACTTTTCCCTTTTTGCTTCTGGTATATGGACCTTTAATTCTATTTGCTCTTTGGTCCAAATTTACTCTTATTTTCATTTCATATCATATTTTGTTAAATCTCTTATTTAATCGCATGTATAGGTTAGGTTGTGGGACTCTGAAAGCAAAAGTTGCCTTGGAGTTGGCATAGGTCATATGGGTGCTGTTGGAGCAGTTGCTTTTTCAAAGAAACAGAAAGCCTTCTTTGTTAGTGGTAGTAGGTGGGAATGCAGGCCATTATTTACTAAAACCCTAAATTCAATAGGTATTCATGTTAGGATGAATACACGAGTATAACAACAAATGAGATATGATGGGTTTGTTATTCTTTCATTTGGTATTTATTCCCTTTTGTTTCTTAATATCTCTTTCATGACCTATATGTTTTTTTTTTTTCAGTGACCGTACTCTAAAGGTGTGGAGCTTGGATGGTGTCTCAGACGATGTGGAACAGCCTATTAATTTAAAAGCCAAAGCTGTTGTGGCAGCACATGATAAGGATATCAATTCTTTAGCTATTGCACCAAATGATAGTTTAGTCTGTAGTGGTTCCCAGGTTTGTAATTTTTCCATTTTATCTTTTTTGTTTTTATTTCAGTTGTTGTATGGGACAAAAGAAGGTCGCTGTAGCCACTTTGGAATAATGCTTTCTTTGAGGTAAATGAAGTTACTCATTTACTTTTCTCTCTTGCCTTTCACGATTAAACAGGACCGCACTGCTTGTGTATGGACTCTACCAGATCTTGTATCTGTAACAGTACTTAAAGGGCATAAAAGGGGAATTTGGTCTGTCGAATTTTCTCCGGTTGATCAATGTGTCATCACAGCATCTGGGGATAAGACAATAAAGATATGGGCTATATCTGATGGCTCATGCTTGAAAACATTTGAGGGGCATACATCAAGTGTCTTAAGAGCATCATTTCTTTCTCGTGGAACCCAATTTGTTTCTTGTGGTAATGAGCCTCTTTTTTTTTTCTTTTTTTTAAAAAAAAAAAAAAAAAAACTCCCCCTGTCCTGACATATTGGATCAACTTGATAACAATTTCAGGTGCCGATGGTTTGGTAAAGCTCTGGACCGTCAAAACCAATGAATGCATTGCTACATATGATCAGCATGAGGACAAGGTGTCGAACAAGTACTTATGTTCTTGTCTTTTTATTTTTTAAGCAAATGGAGCCAACTTTGCATAGATCCTTAAGATTGGTAAAACACAAGTGATTGCAATTGGGAAAGGAAATTGTATTAAGGATCCTCCATTTCTTTGGTGTTATTTATATCCTGGTTCATGTATAATTAACTTGGATGATTATGTGTACGAAGAACTGTAATGAATTAGGGGAAGGCTAGCTTGCCTGCTTGGCTAATATTTTCTATTAATCTATTGAGTATGATGTGCTCAAGTTCGACTAAGTTAATATGGCTACCATGATTGTTGTTCTTGGGGATGAGCCGTAGAATGTCAGAGAGATAGTATTCGTTTCATGTGATTGTGAGCCAAACATCCTTATTTAGATTGGTATTTAATAGAAATTGGAGTGCATAATGAATCTTTCTGATTTTCTTGTGTGTTCTTTTCTTTATCTATTTGGTTGCAAAGACTTGTCCGTTCAAATAAAAAACGAGTAAAAATTTTGTCCTGCAGGTTTGGGCTTTGGCAGTAGGGAAGAAGACGGAAATGCTGGCAACAGGTGGTGGTGATGCTGTTTTCAATCTGTGGTATGATTCTACTGCATCTGATAAAGAGGAAGCTTTCCGGAGGGAGGTCAGTTGAGATGGATATTCCAGACGTTAAGATCTTTTTTCTGTTATATCCTTGTATTCCATAGACGCTTATATTGTTAAATGCAGCACATGTTGAAGAAAATTTGATAGGCCAGTATTTTAGCCCTTTAAGCATTTGTAGGTGGCACCTAAGTTTCCTGGGTACACGGTTTATTTCACTGAACTGAAAGCATGAAAAAGCAACTCCACATGCATGTATGGATTAACATATTAGTGGTATGGGTTCTTGTTTTCTCGAATTTTTGGCATTGAGATTGAATGTACCAGCGGGATTTGTGGTGTTGATGCAGGAGGAAGGGGTTCTGAAAGGTCAAGAACTTGAAAATGCTATTGTGGATGCTGACTATAAAAAAGCAATACGAGTTGCTTTTGAGCTTCGCAGGCCACATAAACTTTTTGAGTTATTTGCAGAACTTTGCAGGTTTGCTAGTTGGCCCCATTTCTTGCACTGATAAACATAGGAATATTTGTTAATTGAGTACTTTGCAGGAAGAGAGAAGCCGAAAATCAGATACAAAGAGCCCTTGATGCTCTGAGCAAGGAAGAGTTCCGCTTACTTTTGGAATATCTTCGAGAATGGAACACAAAACCAAAGCTTTGTCATGTCGCACAATTTGTGCTTTTCAGAGTCTTCAACATCCTTGCTCCAACAGAGATTATTGAGGTACTTATGTGATGCTACCCATCTCTTTTCTGGTAGTTATGTGGGATTGATAAGCAAGTTTTTATAGGGAATTGTCAGATTGCCCAAATGTCTCCTTGTTAATTGCGATTAAAAAAGAAGTGAAAACATGTATACGGTCTATAGAGTTCATCCATACCTCTTAGATTGCCGTCAGGTTGGGGTCCTAGCATAACCTGTTGAGTAGTGGTATTTTTGATGAACTTCCAGAAAAAGCTTCGTTGGAAGTCTACTTTTGTTTGTGCAGTATAATTTATTAATTGAATCTATCAAACATATTGACGCAAGCGTATATCACTCTTTTCTTGATTGTTTGATTGAATCACAGCTACTGAATCCATTCCATCTTTATTTGTCTTGGCCTGGTGCTTAATCCTTGATTAATAATTCTTTTTGCATATTTTGACCACTTAATCAATTTGATGGTGTTTCAGATAAAAGGCGTTGCAGAACTCCTTGAAGGGCTTTTACCATATTCTCAGAGGCATTTTAGCCGAGTAGACAGGCTTGTGAGAAGTGCATTCTTGTTGGATTACACTCTGACAGGAATGTCAGTTATTGAACCAGAAACTGAGGCAAAGGAATTGAGAGAGAATTCTTCTCTACAATCTGTTGTGAATGGTGGGGAAGAGATCCTCTCAGCAGACAATGTGTATAAGGCGCAAAAACAGGTACAAGAAGAATGGTTGAAATCAAAGACAGCCACGAAGAAACGGAAATCAGACAAACATAAAGATAAAACCCCCAAGAGAGTTAAGGGCGTTGCTTACACTACCATTGCAGCCACATCTTAAGAGGCATGACACACCTGAGCTATCATGGTATTGACCCTCTGATGTTCTTTTTTCAGCTCATTGATCGGAGCAGTCTCTCCCATTTGACTTTCAAATCTTGGGTGCCATCTCGTAGATGAAGAGGATCTACTTAGTTATGTAGAAAGAAAAAAAAGTACCATCAACAATCTCCACTCCATTTCTTTTCTTCGAGCATAAATCATTATCTGTATACCACAATTTTGTAGTTGTACACTAGATTATATAATTGAAAACTAGGCATATTTCTAGTTGCGGCAGATTGAGCAATTCACCATTTTGGCTACTTATCCTCAAGTTTGTATTTTTTTTAATATATACTTTTTATTCGATGCAATTATATCTTGCTTTTTACACTTTGGTCCGTGTAACTCTTGCTCTAGCGTACTGATTTTTTATTGTATCTGTTTATACATAACATGTATATATACGTCTATATGTAAATCTTGATGGGAACATCTGAATGATATTTGAATTAGTACTAGAAAGGACTACAAATTATGGTACAAAAGATAGAGACAAAACCCATGTTGCCACTATCACGCTGCTGGTCACTGAGAATGTCGAAAGCCCACCAGAAACGGATAGAGAAGAGCCTGATTTTGGTGGAGGAACATTTGCGCCGGTTGGCGGCAGGGCACTTGCTGGAGTCAGATTAAAGCCGTTAAGCGGAGGAAATGGTGATGGGGGTATCGCCCGAGAGGCAGGATTTGAGGTACTATTACTACTACAAGAGCAAGAAACTGAGGGATTAGTAATAGTATAGTTATTATTCACAGTTATCTTTGGACTTGCTTCAGACAGAACCCCATCTATTCCATGGCATCTAATTGAGGAGCTTGCAGTGCATATGTTTGGGCTGATGAGTCTTGCATTGTTGAGAAAGAAACTCCTCCTACCCTTGTTGGAAATCTTGAGCATGTACTCTGGCTTTGAACTTGGAATTATGGAGCCTGTTGGGATATGCTGCAAATAGTCGAAAAGCATGGTTGAAGGAATCGAATGGCGGAGCAAGAACTCGGAAACAGCGTCCTGTTGCAGAGTAATTATTGACAGCATGCGGTCGTTGGGCATCAAGAAAGTGAGATTTCCCTGAAGCCTATGATCTAGTGAGGCCATGTTGAGGAGCGTGATGAAGGTGAAGTAATTGGCTCTTTGCATTTCGGAAATGGCAGCAACAAGGTCTTGGTTTCGATTTCCGAAAGGAATATCGGCAGCAGAAATCGACAAGACCGTAGCCATCAGAACAAAAAAGATAAAGTTGGTGGCCATGTGGGTGGATTTCATATTGTACGCTGATGATTCATTCATAATCTTTTGGTTACATGGTGGCCTTGTTATCAAGGGATTTGAAAGGAGAGAGTTTTGAGGTAAAATATTAAGGACATGCAACTATGCTGGCTCAACAACTGAGTTTCATTCCCTTTGCGTTCTTACTATTCTTTATTGGCAGCAGCATTTACGTGTGTTCACAACCACGTTGGTTGATATATTATTTCCTCACAAGCGCAAAAAAAAAAACAAAAAAACAAAAAAAAAACAAAAAAAGGTTGATTGTGATGAAACCGATTGTTGGGCAACTGCAACTGAATTTGACTACGGATAACACAACTTAAAAACCAGACTTATTAACTAACTAGTTTAGGCTCGTTACAAATGTGTTGGGATCAAAATGGATTGATACAACACAAATAATAAAATGTCATGTTTCGGACACAATGATTTATACGAGTTTTAATTATTTAATATGTTACGTGTCATACAAAAAAAAAAATCAACATATTTCGGAAAACCATTTGGGTTCAGGTAAAATGAGTTTAGCATTGCTAAAAAATGGTGATTCGAGAGACCTCAAGATTTAAGCCAAATTATGGGTTCAGGTAAAACTAATCTAATGATTAAAAACAGAGATCTCACCAATAATTTTTTAAGGGATCCTACCCTAGAGAATGTTAGAATGTCTTATTATTATTGGGATTTTTAGAACATTTATTCCTTAAAATTATTGTGATTTAGTAAAAGATCTCTCAAATTTTTAATTTTGACAATTAACCACTATTGGAATTCGTCCCATTTGACAGACAGCTGCTTAAAAAAGTGATGGAAACCAGCATGCGACACGCACATGTGTCGAATTCAAGGGCATTGCCGGTATTTTAAGTATTTCTCTTGAAATGAAAGGAAAATTTTAGGGTTATTTTTCACCATTTCTCAAACTTCTGAAGAATTCTCTTCAATGGATCCAAATCCCAACTATATCCTCTCCAACGTAATGCGATGGTCTCGTCAGATGTTCTTCTCATTTTAACCCAAAACCTTTCCTTTCTTCTCTCACACATTCCCTTCCCGTCGCCGCATCTCGGATGGATCTCCATCGAAACCACCAAATATTTTCCCCATTTTGCTCAAAACCACCCAGCGAACTATCTCCAAGGTTTTTTCATCTCGAGACCAACCAAACGCGCTCTGATTATGAGTTCGATCTGCTCTCGACGTTGAACTCATGCTCCTCCCTCTCAGTTGTCTCTTAGGCCAACAAATCCACTCCATCGTATTGAAATCGGGTTTGGGATCCAACACTTCTCATTGCCAACAGCTTGATTAGTATGTGCGCCAGATGCGACTTCATTTTCAATGCCCGGACATTGTTTGATTCTAATGATCAGGAAAATTCAAAATCTTGAAATTAATCAAGACTTTGAAGATGAATTGTCTCTGTAATCGCATTTTGTAAACAAATGATTGAATTTTTCGAATTCGATATTTGGAATGATGAAAATTGGCGACTTTACCATTTTCACTAAATTGATCCAAGTTTAATTAAATTTCAATTGTGCGTTTTGTCTTTAAATTTTTACAGTAAAAAATTTTTAAAAAATATTAAATTTAAAATTTTTTAATATAATAATTTTTTTTTATAAAATATTATATTTTAATTTAAATTTACAAAGTAAACGAGACTTAAGGATTTAATTTTCCTAATGACAAAATTATTCTAAAAGGGTTCACTATTAAAATTGGACCCATTAAAGTATGATTACGTCAAGTCCAAATTAGCTAGAATTAAATTGGCTCTATAGTCAATTTAATAACTGTGAAGTTCATTAAGTATAAATCAATGTCTAGTTCTAGTGTTGAGATCAAGTCTAGAAATACACTAATCAAGGAGGGCATTGAACAAGAGTTCAATTGTAGGGTTAGGATTAAATGAGGTTTTAATCAAAGGTGTAGAATTGAAGTAAAAAAAAAAAAAAAGAGTGAAGGGGCGGATGGAGGGCCAAGGGAGAGTTTATTAACCCGTGCTCATACAAAAAAAAAAAAAAAAAAAAAAAAAAAAAAACCAACAACAACAACAACAACATTTTTCGGAAAACCATTTGGGGTCAGGTAAATGAGTGTACCATTGCTGAAAAATGGTCATTCGAGAGAGCTCAAGATTTAAATTGTGTTAGATAATTAGTTAGTTCTTTCCTTTCCTTTTGTTTTTCATTTTTTTTTCATCTTTTTTTTTGGGTTGAATTTTTTATTTTTTATTTTTTTTTGGGCTGAAGCTTTCATCCATCAGAAATAAGATCAGCATATATTTTCTTCACTTATTGAAAACTTACTCGTCCTTTTTCTTGATATGACTGGTGGTATCCCTATATTTTGTTTTGATAATCATTGTTGTTTGGAAAATACCAAAAATTAAAATGATTTTTAATCAACAAATAATTACCACATATAAAAAGCATTATGGGTCACACATGCTCTTATCCGTAGTTGAGTTCCTTTAATGTGAAATGGAATGTACTCTATATTAAAGAAAACGTGAGAAATTTCGTTCCGATTGCCGATTACAAAAGAGAGGAAAAAAAAATAAGAAAAAAAATTCTAAGCACAATCCTAATTGAAAATATGTTCCATGTAACAAGAAATGAAAACTAAAAAATCAATACATCATTTGACAAAACAAAATGCAGTCTTGGTCCCATCAGTCTTTACTTGTACTCAAGCTGCTGAACCTGAAAGCTCTGTAGAAAAAGAACTAACAGAAGAACACAATTAACTCTCTCTTGTTGGAAAGTAAAATGAATAAATAAATATTACAAATTTTTCTCAATCTTTTTCGAACCTTAGACTGAACCATCTGAATTGAATCATTTCTCAATAGCCCTGTAACGATCTATTGAATAATTTACCATTCGTTCTGACGTCAAAGAATTAACCAATTAAGGGAACTGGAAGGAACCTCCAATTTGGTTAGAGCCAGCAGGAGGATTGATTGCAACCCAAAGGAGGGAAATGGTAATCGCGATAAGTCCCGACCATACAAAAACAATGGTGGGCGTCCTCCCCCGCCGACCCATAAGCCCTTTGGCGAAGGGGTAGAGATGAGCCAACACCCAGAAACTGAAGAAAACTCCACCGAGTAAGCGGCTCCACTGCGGTATGACACTGTAAATAGTACGGCTAAACCCGACGGCAATACCAATCAGGTTGGTCATCATGATTGTGATTGGAGGTATCATGAGTGATGTCCATTTGACAGTGTACAGATCAGCAAACTCATCGTCCACATCATCACCGCCGGATTTTGATGTCAAGGTGAAGGAGATTTCAATCCCTGCAACGACTTTCAATAGCCCTTGAAGTACAGCAGCAAGATGAGCACTTGTCCCTCCAATCAACCAAAACTGCTCATTTCTCCACCACTCTTCCAGCTCAATACCAGACCACCTGATCTCGAGAACGGCAAGCATGCATAGAGTGACGGTGATGATGAGGAGGTAAGTGAGGAAAGTGACATTGAGGGTCTGCACGATGAACTGCCCCGAGAAGAGGGAAAGCGCTGGAAGGAAACAATACACAATGAGGAAGATGGAAGTGAAGGGGTAGATTCCAACATTGAGGTATGCAATCCTTTGTAGGAACTTCATTCTTGGGCTGGCCAAAAGGGCATTGTTGCGAGAGAAGAAAATCTCGACAGAGCCAGTAGCCCATCGGAGTACCTGGTGTAGCCTATCGGTTAGATTGATTGGAGCAGTTCCACGGAATGCATCACGCTTGGTCACGCAGTAAACCGACTTCCATCCCCTGTTGTGCATCCTGTAACCGGTGACCACATCCTCAGTGACAGAACCATAAATCCAGCCAACACGATGACCCCACTCAGTCTTGTCTTCATACCAACAGGAGATCACACTGATGGCCTCAGCAACAGTTGATGCATCAAGAAGCTCACGGGGAATTGTCAAGGCACCCGGTGGGCGTCCATTCTTCACAGCCGGGTGGTCAGCAAGGGGGCGACCTTGGAACTCTGCCACTGGGATTGAATCAATGAGGAAACTTGAGTTCCCAAACTTCTTAGGCAGCAAGGAGAGGTTCATCTCTTCATCATCAGAGTCGCCCATTCTAAGAGCTCGGTGTTCTTCGGGGGTGGTTGCAACAGAGGAATGCTTCTTGTGACGTGCAAAGCAGCAGCTGCAGCAACCTTGGTGGTGTTCTTTTGTGCGAGGAGGATCAAATCCATAAAGGGCAATTCTACGAAAGAGGCAGCCAGTTCCGACGTAGACAGGACCCTGAAGCCCATCGAGCGCTCGCATGTTGACATCAAAGAAGACAGTATTGTGGTTGGCGTATCGGTCAGAAGGGTCAATGCCCTCAAACCTCTGAGGGAACTGGACATAGCAGATGCGGTCGCCTCCACGGTCCATCATGAAGCACATGCCTTCCCTCATTGCTTGAGAATTGTAAATGTAGTGATCACAATCGAGGTTGAGGATGAATGGACCATTGGACATGATGGCAGAGGCCCGAACCAGGGCGTTCATGGCCCCTGCCTTCTTGTTGTGATCATAACCTGGACGCTTCTCACGAGAAACGTAAACAAGTAGAGGGAGACGGATGTCGACGTCAGTGAGGTCGATGAGGCTGGAATCATCAGCAGTCCCATGTAGTGGTTCATCACTGGGAGGTTTCAACATCACCTGCATCATTAGGAGGGGACAAAACACGCTCAAAACATGTAACTGAAACTGAACTTGTTTCTTGACACATTTACTTTCATGATAAAAAGGTGCATAATACTCCTCCAGTTTCAACTTCTTCAGGCCACAAGGAAGCTGGAAAAAGCAATAAAATTTTTTGGGACATGTAAATATACCTGTATAATACCAGCATGGTCTCCTTTAGAGTGCTCAGATGAAGGATTCAACCAAGTACCAGGCCAGTGGGTTCCATCAGCCATCCATGTCGCTTTCGGGATTTTCACAGGCTCTATTGGTTCATCTTCCCTGTTCTGCCTCTGCAGCTTCATAGCCTTGATCTCCTCTCTAGCATGATAAGCATCGGAACGGCGGCGGATCGAATCAGGCAGCCCATTGATCCTGACCTTGAACTCGTCATAGTCACGCTTTACCCTCCTCCGATCCTTGACAAAGTCAGACTTCACTTTGTTCTTATAAGGGTCTCTCTTTAAATTGAAGTAGGACTCGGGATTCCTAGGCTCAATGCCATGTTTTCGGCAGAATGGGACCCATATATTTGCAAAGCTTGCAGCTTCAGCCATAGCCTCAAATGTCAGAAGTGCACCTCCATCATCAGAAACATAGCAGGCAAGCTTTTCAACTGGATAGTCAGCAGCTAGAATGGATAAGATGGTGTTTGCAGTGACAAGTGGAGGCTCTTTCTCAGGATCTGCTGTAGAGACGAAGACATCAATGCCCGGGAGATCAGACTTCCCGGTGGGGTTGTTGGGGCTTGGTGTTTCAAACTTGTCTTTCAACACATTAAGATCTGTTGCACGGTTGACTGGACAGAGCTTGGGAAGCTGGTCAAGGAGCCAGGAGAAAGCAAACCAAATCTCACAAACTACCGACATTCCCCATAGCCAAACTGCATCGTTGTTCGGATGCTTGACCCTCCAAGCCAAAAACAAACCGAGGATGACGACGCGAACAAAAATTAGAAGCCTGCCAACATATTTGCAACGAAAAGATGGAATGGAAGATCCCATTAGCATAACCACGAAGAGAATGCGCTTTAAAGGAAAATATACAAAAGTAATAAAATCTATAAGGTTAGTATTAAGAATGCTCGTAAACATTTGAATCAAAATGTATATAAACCATGTCACCATCCATCTATATCTAGAAAGATTTATTTTTCAAGGACATGTAAAACAATTATGATTTAGAGGAAAAAAGACGTTATGGAGCCTTTACAACTACAAGAAACAAAGACAGGATGTTAGGGATGTGAAATATACAAAACCTCTAAGATCAACATTAAAACTTCTAGTTAACATATTATTCAAAATGTCTATGAACCTTTCTATCTCTAGAAATATCTTTTTTGGAACATCTAAAACGATAGTCACCTATGAAAATATATTTACATATATATATATATATATATATATATATATTATGCGACATTGACATTTAAAATCTATAAGAAACAAAGTCTTTTTACCTATATGGACTGAGAACAGCTGCAGGTATCTTTAACTTCCTTGTCAGAGGCCTCCATGGTTTGTTCATCAATTCTGTTGGCTCATGAACTTCATCATCTTTCCCAGTTCCAAAACCCCCACCTTCCTTGGGCCAAATGGCATTCCCATATCCATAAGTCCCCTTAGTCTCAAACAACCACCGGTTGTGATCAAAGTCACTAGTTTGACTTCTCATTAGAACGGATTTTGTTGACTTCATCAATGACAACCTCCTTTCCATTTTAGACATCCCGTTTGGCGGGGGAAGAGGAAGTGGCCGTGCATTGTTGTCCACGGCTACTTCATCCAAATCTGTGTTCTTGTAGGGTTCCTTGCACCCGGGGCAAATGCCGCCCCCTATTTTGACTGCATCAATATAGCAATCTCTACATATCTTGAAATCACACTCACAAGGGAGGATATCATTGCCACGTTCGTCACTCATCACCTTTGCATCACACCCAGGAATTGCGCAAGAAGACCCTTTTGCACCGGCCATTTGAGGGTGGCTTGCTTCGGACTCAATCACCTTATCCATGAGATGAGCTCTAGTGACACTGTTGAAGCCACCAGTGAAGAGGGAATTGGAAACGTATTGCTCTTCAACTTTCTGTGAGATTGATGGATCCATTGGTTGGTTATCTGGGGTGGGGGGAATGTGGACAGTGTAGTTCATGAAGTCACTGCTCCCGAGCTCGCTATCGAGATCATCTCTTGAATAACTGATGTAGCGGCCAGAGGAGGTTCTCCGGGCGAATGTCACCGTCGGAGGCAGTGGTGGCTTGTTGTGCGCATCTGGCACATCGGATGTTGCCGATAGATTAGATCGGCTAGCCTTGAAAGACTTTGATGCCATTCTTCAAGCACCAATTTTTAGACCCTGAACATTCAAAGGGAAATCAAGATTCAAACTTCAATTAGCATCATTCCAGCACATTCATAAAGTCAGAATTCAGAACTGGAACTGAGAAACACAAGTAAAATGTAGAGCCTGAACTGTCTGGTTGCTAAAAAATGGAAAAACTAAAGATAATATCTAATTGTTCTATAGATCCTGAAAATTCAAAAGGCAAATCAAGAATCAAACTTTATTTGCATCACTTGAAGCACATTTAACAAAGGGTCGGAACTGGGACTGCGAAACAAAATTACGTAAATGTATTGCTCTGCCTGTTTGCTAAAGGAATGGAAAATTAAAGTCATGGTATGTTATGCAATATTTTTCTCAGCGAGCAAACAGATCATGAATAAGTCCCAGTTAGATGAGGGACTCGCTTAGTAAGAAGTGGATAATCTACAAATCTGATAATTATCCTTTATTCGGCTCAGACAAAATATGCTGAATTTTAAGAGTACCTTTTTTTTTGAACTTAAAAGTTAGTATCAATTATGATTCAAAGCAGCAGTAGACACAGCTCAAAAGAAGCTTGTTTGCTTCTTAATATTCGCAAGTGAAAGAAAGGAAAAAAAAAAAAAAAAAAAACAAGATCCACACTTTTCAATTTCACTTTGCATAACACAACCCGCCAGATAACAACTTTGAAATCTCTACTAATTTTTTTTTTTGTCTGATTGCCCAGAAATATTGGAGCACTGAAAAAAAAAAAAAACTAAAAATCGAATCTTGAAAAACCCACATCACATTAACTGGCTAGAAGTCATAAAAAAATCCAGGTACCCAGAATCTCTTTCCCATCTCCACATAAGCCAAACAGATTACCACTCAGACAGCACACACACGAGAGAGAGAGAGAGAGAGAGAGATCTGGCAGATTTTACCTGTGTTGTGTGAAACGAGTCTATTCTGAGATCTGTTCTTGTGTGGTCATGTAATGTAATGAAACCAAAATGCGTGTACGAAAGTGAAACCAAATGGCCTTCGTCTGAACCTGAAGGTGATAGAAAGGAAAGGAAAAGAATTGTTCAAATTCAAGTTGTAAACAAGTCGCTTTGCTTTGCTTTGTTTTGGTCTATCAAACTATGAAATGGTAACCCATCACTACTACCAAACTACGTTAATCATATCACATGATAGAGACAGAGCAGAGAAAACGAGTTTTTTGGGGCATAGTCATGAGCAAGACTACAAGCACTAATACACCATGATTCAAGGCTTTTTATTCTTTATATTAAAATTAAAAAACTAAAACGAAAAATAAAAAGACATTTTTTTGTTTCTCGTTTTCTAAGTAAAGAAATAAAAAGGATTTTCACTGTAATGTAAAACTATCCAAATTAATAGATTCTTATGCAGATTTTGTGGTCTAAAACTAGCATGGTAGTAATAAGAACTTTTTTGGTATTTTACTAAAAGAACTTTAAAAAAGGCTTTTTTCCCTTTTTTTTTTTTTCCTTTTTTTCCTAATAAAATAAGTTTTTTTAGTTTCCTTTTTTTTTTTTTTTTTTTTTGTTTGAAAAAGAACATCTTTGATAGATGAGAAGGTTCAGAGTTATGGGGGAGAAAAAGGCAGAGGGGATGAGTTGGAGTTTTCCTCTTTTTGGATTGAATCTCCCTATCTCATCTCATCATCTTAAATCTCATCCTAAGTAGCCAAAAAAAAAAAAAACAATAACTTTTTTTTATTGGGGTTTTAAAAGAGTGATTTTTGGTGTAGAAGGCAAATTTGGACAAGATAAGAGTTAAATTCGGGCTTTTATTATGGAGAAAATACTTGCAAGCTATGCGTTTAAAAAGGGTATAATGGGCTTTTCACTTTTAGAATAGATCCGTTGAAAAAGAGTAGAAAAAGAAAGTTACCCTGATTATCCAAAAAATAAAAAGAGAAGTTGCCCAGTAATGTAATTAATTAAGGCCCCGTTCATTTCGTTAATTTGAGTTTAGAATTCGAATTTTGCTACAGTAAAAAGTTCTTACAAACAATCACATCTAACTTTTTTGCTACAGTAAAAAACTCTCACATAAAATTACATTTCAATTCGAATTAAAAACTCGAATCAGCGAACTAAACAGGCCCTAAAAGTAGCTTTCTCTTTTTAATTTTGAATGCTAAATTATCATACACGCCAATAAATTGGTTAATTCTTGTTTTCTTTTTTTGAATTTGTTTGGTAATGTTTGTGGTGCAATTTTAGAAAATTAAAAAGAATTATGAGTGTGCCTTTTTTTTTTTTTTGGTTGGCTAAAAGGACACTTTTATTTTGTGTGTGTTTGTTAACGCGTTGACGTGTGAAAGAGAGAGTTGCCAATTAGTAGCAATCTCAAGACTCTCTAGTCCAGTCTGTCTTTGTGCTTTTCTCATTGCGTTGGAACCTAAACATAAACAGACAACTTTAGAAATTCTTGAATTCCAAAACTACCCTTATGATTTGATATCTGATTTCCCAAAATGCCCACGAATGATTAATGGATGATGGTCATGGATTGGAAATGGACCTTCCCAAATTCAAATGCGGAAACTACGGAACATGAGTGCCTCTCAATTTGTCTTTTGATTTTGACCCCCCATTTCTATTGATATTTATTTCCTGTATATCATATGATATCATATTATCCCCCATTCTTTTTCTTTTATTTTAATTTAAACACTCATGATCTGACTCTCTCCATTGTCCATCTTTATTCTTCTTTTCATAAAAGGAAAATATGTATATTATTATTTCCTTTTGAGACCTGTTGTCATGACGTGTCATTGAGGTTTTCCTCATAAATATGCTCTAATTGCTAAGATCCAGATGCCTTTCATAAAACATAAAAATAAAAATAAAAGAAAAAAGAAAGAGCCAGATGCAACATAACGCCATATTTGGGCATAATCCTAATTCCATGCCATTTTCCATGCAAACTTGGAAAAACTATAAATAAAAATTATATAAACATATACATATTAAATTAAAGATAGTATGAAGCCGGTTAAATAGTGATATATGGTATTTATTTATTTATGCAGAGAGGTTGAAGAGTAGTTGGCTTCGGATGATCAACTTTTGCTATTTAGTTGTCAAATGTCATCATCCATCGATATTTTCAAATAAGTTTGATTTATTTTCTTTTGGAGCATTATTCAATGATATGGCAAGACTGAGTAAGAATAACAATACACGTAATGGTTTATATTAATAGCAGTTGAACAGAGTCAATGCTTTGAATCTACTTATATATATATATATATATATATATATGGTCATCTCATCAGTCATAAAATGGATTATTATAGAACAAGTGAATGAAGTATAGAATAGAATTATTACTTAATCGGCAAGTCTCATACTCTTTTCGCATTAATATCCTGCTTTCACTGCGCAAACACATGACAATTATTCCACCAAATTATAATTCACCGGCCCTATCACGTTGACTCTTTTCAAGACAAGGAAGAAAAAATAACTCTTTCAATACTATTTTCACCGTCCTCTCTCTCTCTCTCTCTCTCCCACAAACATTACTCACTGCCATCCTTTTCACGTCTATAATGAATGCATATCCGACAGTAATAACTTTTTTTTTTCCTGAATAAACAATAAGAATTAAATAATAAATACAAAAAGAATACCTTAACGATATAGTTACAAAAAATCTTATTGGCACTGAACAATTTTGCATCATCAGATCCCAATTAGATTATATTATGACAAAGAATTATAGTAGAAATGTAATAAATCTTGTTGAAACTACGGTCCAAAACTGTGTAGTGTAGCCTTCTATTAGAATTCTTCAATAAACAATGAATATTAGTTAGTTTGCATAAAAAGGAAAAAAAAAAAAAAAAAAAAAAAAAGACAAATGTATACAGGACATTGGTTTGGACCGTCTGGTTATCAGCATGTGAGGCAATGGGGCCCACGTCCAAACGTGGCAGCATCGGAGGGAGACGAATTGCAAATGTACATGCATCGCACGTCCTAGGTTTACTATATTATTTTAGTGAATGGGACCCACAAACCCCACAGACAAAATCATCCAACTCATTGAACGTGCTGAGCATGTCGCCCTTGCCTCCGCACCATAGCACGTGCACCCTCCTCCATATGGAAATAATGCAATTCATTTCCTACCGCTTTCCCACCATGTTAACACCAAAAAGCTAATTACTTTAAAAAAACACATAAAAAAAGCTAATTTGATTTTTTTTTGTTTTATAATTATGCTAATTAGATTTCCTTTTGTCGCGTACACACTCGTCTTTGTTGTTAGCATTCTCATTATTATTATTATTTTCTTGAAACGATTTTGTAGAATTCTATTGGGGCAGGTTCTATACTCAACCGACCAATTGAGACTTTGCCTCGGAAAACCCCCTAGAGAAACGGCACAGTCCACTTTCATACCAATTTCGGCCTAACTCAAAATGGTCGAGGTCCAAGCCCATCCTAATCTCTCCCGCAGTTATCACGGCCCAAATAGCTGGACAGATCTCTTTTTTAAGTTTTGCAGTATTAAGCGTCACTAATATCCTTTGTTATCATTGTTTCTACTAGAAAAATGCTAGATACAACTGGTTATTACTGGTATTGATTAATACGTAAAATTGTGTCAAAACCTCGCTCTAAATCATAATGAGTGCACCTCTGAAGTTGGCATTTAAATTGGTGATTGTTTATAATTAAAACGTGATTAATAAATGATAACCACATACAGTGTTAGATAGCATTTCTCTTTCTCCTAATTAAGCATTACTGATTGAAGTGGAATGGAAGGAACTGCACAATCTCCATTACCAAAAAAAAGGTACCTATCATGGCCAAAGAAGGGGTTAATCCAACGATGATTGATACACTTGAATAACATACTTATACATCTATTATGATATAATCACGCGTTAAGGAAAACTTGGAATTGGGGGGGTTTTGGGTTACAAGAGGGAAGTTGAAGTTGGCGAGTTTGCGCGCCTGCAATCACAAGTGCAGATGCGTCTTGATTCCTTCACTACCCGCTGAGATCTTCGAGTATGAAGCTTGATGTTCACCAACTTGCCAGCCATCTGTTGCCCACCAAAGAATGAGTAAAACTGTTATTCATAAGTTACAAACTCCGGATATGCGGACATATTCCCAACTCCTACTTTTACGCGAGCTTTTACTTATGTTTTAACATTTTTACATAAAATAGAAGAGAAGTAAACGCTTTAACTTGTAAATTACCGATTGGGTTAATGTATTTCGAAGCGAGCTTTTCAAGAATTAAATCATTTATCAATAAGAAACTCCAAAATAACTTCTCATGTTTTTATAAAAAGCTTTGCCAAATAGGCCCTTAGAAAAATTACATGGTCAGAGTTTCCAGAGACTCAGAGAAAACATACCATTCTCCACACCAAGTCTTCTGGACCCAAGGGTTGAGCTGGATTGGAGTACACGAAATGCCTCGAGTACTGCAACAAAATTACTATGACAACATCAGTCACAGAATGGGAGAGCTTAGAGCAAGTCTATTATACAATAAAAAAAGGACATAGAAATGCATGCACCTTTAGACAAGATTCACAAAAAAGCAATAAGAATAACGACGAATAACTATATCTGGCTGTCACACACCTTGACAAGATTCCGTCTCATTTCACTAATTTGAGAGTGGCTAATGCTTTTTAGAATGTTCAGTAGCCAGCCCGGTTGTGCAGCATCACTGGAAGACACAAATATAGCTATCTGCACAAGAAGATGAAGGGCCAAAGTCCCATCAGCTGATCAATAGATGTTTGAAATAAGGGCGACCATGCCATAGATGCCAAGTTACATAGGCTTTAGTATCATTTGGTACAACAATATTACATTTATAGAATAATATCTAAAACTTCCCTGTCACATATCGAATAACTTGAGTCACCAAATATTAATCCAACTTAAAGTAGCTCTTACAAACTTGTCTCCATGTCATATCATGATGTGAGTTTAATTAACACCATTCCCTCACTCACCAGTGACCAACTAAGCTACTAACGAAATACCACCTAAAGCAAACAATACAAGGTTTACAAGACAAAAGCATACCTTCCTGTAATCTAGTATTCCTTCAAAAGGAAGCTCCAGTTCGTCACTGACTATGACAGGTATGCATCCACTGACAATGGCATCAAACAATCTAGCAGATGATGGAGTGTCACCAGCTGGGCTTAGGCAAAAGATAGACCTGATGGCAAAAGGGGTGTAACTTAATCTGTACGACACACGAAAATGAACATGTTGGAAATCAAAGTAAAGATCCAAAACTTTTTACTTGCGCATCCCATTCTGAGCTGCCACTTTTCCCACCTCTCCAGCTGATCCCTCCTCTATAACGACACCCTCGGTACCACTTAATTCTGCAACGAGTTTTGCACGTATTTTCCCTCCCTGAAAGGAAAACAACATGAGCGGCTATGCCATATGGGAAAAAGAAAGAATAAACATAATCACAAATATGAGAATCTGGGATTCAATGGAAAATATTTTCGAGACATTTGTTCATGAATCAAGATTCTTACAGCATTTCTTTTAAGCCTCCCGCGGAAGAAAAGAATAGTGGTTCTTGTTGATTCGGTATCAGCCATGCACTTTGCATCACATAAGTCAACGTTCGGGACGTAAGGGAGAATTAGATCTTTCTCCAGGAAAACCTGTCCTGGCTTATACCTGAGAAGATGACAAAAAATTACTAGAGAGCAGCTTCAGCATGATACCCTGGTAAACTCAACACTTATTTGGTCATTGAAATAGTCACCAGTTCCCCGTGGAGTCCATATCAGGTAGCAGCCAAATTGCATTCTTCATGTATCGGCGAACAGACTTGAAAGACCAGGGATGATGAACTGGAAGTATGTGATCCCTTCCTTCAGATCGCTTCCACGCAGGCTGATCCATAACCCACTTCAAAACTTCCTACATTACAGGTCCGTGGTACATTAACATATGGAGAAATAATATAATTGATTTGGTAATTCCCCTAACATTCTGTAACATTACGTGATGTGGTAATGTATTACTGTTACTCAAATGCTAAGAACTCTGTCAAAGACTAAATTTTCTCTAGTTGGAGAAGAAAATATATGAAGAAAAATAAATAATTGGGAAAACATGTTAGATGCAAGATTAAGCTAAATGTCAAAGCAAGTTTCACAACAAAGACGTCATATAGAGAAGTTCAGTTATTGCTCTAGTGCATCAAAACTAGAAATCTTTACTTTACAAGTACCGCATTGCATTCTTAGCTATCAAATTAGCAATAAAGAAAGTTGATATGGATGTAAAGGGTGATGATAAAATTTTCCTCCGCTTGGATAATAGCATACATTTAAATAAAAAAAAGGATTATTATCACTGATGCCCCTAAACTTTAGAGTCATTCTCAGTTTGCCCTCTGAACTTTAAAAACTCTCATTTTGCCCTCTGAACTTTGAATTGTTTCCACTTAACCCTTTCTGTAGCAATTTCTGTTAAAAACGGATAGAAAAAAAAGAGAATAACGCAGTAACATGGTCTTTCTGTTAAAAAGAAATAGATAAAAACCACATGACCACACTTAAACAGCTCTTTTTCCGTATGATTTTAACAGAAATTACAACAAAAAGAGTTAACTGAGAACAACTCAAAGTTCAGAAAGCAAAATGAGAGTTTTTAAAGTTTAGGGAGCAAACTGGGAATAACCCCAAAGTTTAAGGGGCACCAGTGAGAATAATTCTAAAAAAAACAGTATAAACAGAGAAACAAGTGAAAATGCAAGATTAAGCTCAACGGAGAACAAGTTTTCGGGAGAGTTCAGGTATTGCCCTAGTGCAGAGTACACAAATATCGTTGTGAAATCCATTACTTCCCATTGCATTCTTAGGTGGCGAATAAGTCAATGCTGATGTAGGAGGTGATGTTAAACCAAAGGCAAAAACATTCACAACAATAAAGTAAACCTTGGAAGTGCACTCACACCCTGTAAAGTGCCTTGCATTGCTGTTTCTCCATCAAGAAGAAGCTTATGGTGGTGAAGAAAGGGATGTAGAACAGATCTGCCTCTTCCTGCCTATCAACTCTCACAACACTTTTCAGCAGCCTCTGCGATTCTGGCGCTATCAGATCCACCCACAACCAGTAATCTATTGAATGCTGCACAAACAGTCCAAAATAAACAACTAAAAGGAAATCTTTTCTTCTCGAATCCAATCAGTTCAGACCGATTAAGAAATAAAAGAATTTAGAGAGAAAGACGAAAAAAAAAAGCACATAAAATGAATAAAAGTAACTTTAAAAAACTAGCTTTCCTTCAAATGTACAGATTTAAACAAGTACAACAAAATATCAAAATAAATAAATAAATAAAATAAAAGGGGGAAATTAACAAGTTTTCTTCTCCAATCCAATCAGTTCACACCGATTATCAAATAAAGCATTTAAAGAGAAAAATGTTATAAATTACTCCTAATTATGCAAGAAAAAAGACAAGAAATAAACTTAACAAGAAGAAAGATAAAAACTTTTCCTTCAACTGTGCAAAATTAAACAAGAAACGAAATGAGCAAAAGAACAAGCTTTTCTTCTCCAATCCAATAATTTCACACCAATTATCAAATATAAAATCATTTAGAGGGGAAAACAGATGCAAGCATGTAGTCCTAATTACGCAAGAAAAGAAAAGACAAATAAAATGAACAAGAAAGCCCCTAACTTTCTTCCCATGGCAAATCGAATGAATTTCACAGCGATTAATCGGTGCAGCCAGTAACTACCTGTTCGATGAGGCGGTGTACGGGGCTGCCATTGGAGGTGAGATTGGAGGTGTCCTTGTAGGTGTTCCGGAAGAGCCAGAGCAGATCGTAGGTGAACTTGGACGGCATGTCGTAGACGTAAACCTTGATCGGCATGCTCAGCGGATAGTACGGGTCACCGTACAGCCTCCCGCTCTCGGTCGCCGAAACCAGGTCGTCAAGCTCCTCCTCGCCGGATACCGTACGGACGGCATGATCTGGAGGCGGAGGATGATGAAGAAAATGCTCGAGAGAGGCGACGAAGGAGGTTTGGGGGTTGTAAGCGGGGGTCACAAGGGGGCTGGGATGGTCGGGGAATTGGGTGGGATTGCGGAAGGAGAAGAGGAAGAAGATGAGAGAGAGAATGGAGAGAGAGAGGAAGAAGAGAAGGAAAGGAGATTTGGATCTGGAAGTGGAAGGGCCGTGCTTTCCTGCCAATGCCATTCCTCTCCGCTGTCTGTCTTTAGTTTCACTTCAGTTGCGAGCGACTTCTTTCTATTTCTCTGCTCGTGTTTGTGTTCTATTTATTGTAGTTTATTAATTTCTTCCCTTTATTACAAAAGAAAAAAAAAATTTCAACAAAAAGAAAAGAAAGAAGAAATTGGAATAATGACAAAAACCTCATTGAAATTTGATTGCCTTTTGTAGTTTCAGAATTGGTTTAAAAAATGGGTTTTCATCTAAACGGCCATTATTTTGTTAAGTAAAAGTTGAATACGTTGTTTGTAACTAAGAAAATACAAAGAATGGGGAGAGCATTTTTAGAACACATAGATTAAATACATGAGGTTTTTGTTATTATATTACATATTTATGGGCATATTTATCGATTGAGAGAGGTAATCTTAGGGCCCGTTTAGTTCACTGATTCGAATTGAGATGTGATTTTATGTGAAAGCTTTTTACTATAGCAAAAAAGTTAGATGTGATTGTTTGTGAGAGCTTTTTACTGTAGCAAAATTCGAATTCTAAACTCGAATCAGCGAAATGAACGGGGCCTTAGTATTTTCAAAAATTTAATTGTTTCATTCTGGTATAAACACGAGGTGTTTTTGACATTTTCATAATAAGAGAACACAAAAGGTGTTTTTTGATATTTTCATAATAAGAGAGGTAAAAGTAGTATTTCGGCAAAAGAAAGAGGCTGTTTCACCGAGAGGAAACGGCTGTAACTACTTGGCATAGAACGAGAGGCACAAGAAATGGGTGCAATTTAGCCTAATACTAAGATCGTTCAAGAATCCAATGTGGTTATATATTCATCAGGCAAATATGGTACCCAAATTTAACATGAATTACTTACACATAATGTTCAGTTCAGAAAACAAATGGTAGATTTGTCAATTCCATATAAGAAAAGACAGGGATAATTCAGTTTATCAAAGGTTAAAAAGATTTTCAAACACCTAAACCTTTCAACACCTCAACAGACTGGGTATGGAAACACCATCACAGGCCTCAAGTCCCACCAAATATATGGAATTATCAGTGTGTATAATAAATAGCAGCTCAAAAGGAGATTAGATCATCTTTTGCTGGTTGCTGCTTCTTAGGATCTTGTCCCCCTTCCGATGTACCCCCACCGCCGCCTTTCTTCCCAAATATCATTTCATCTAGATCGTCCATCATGTCATCGTTGCTCCCTCCGTGCGAACCAACACGAGAACTGGCTGGTTTTCTAATCAAAGTGTCCTCCTTTGGATGGCGAGGTGACTCTTCAGGCTCGACCGCGACAGGTATCATCGCGGGCTCTGGCTCAGCTGAGACAACAGAGGGCTTCAGCTCTTCGTACTTGGACAGAACTTTCTGAATCTCGTCGTTCACGTTCAGGGCTTCAAATAGCAGGGCCTCGTTGTCTCCGGCTGTTTCTATGATTCTCTGCACAGTGAACTGTGACTGGCGGCACTGCTGTATAAGTGTGGTTGCCAAGTCATCCTGCCAAGGGAACAAAAACAAGATATTTACATTACCATGGTTGTGCAACTACAAGCATTATCCAGGTTAAGAACAAGAAACATGAGTTAATATACTCAATATAAACCAGACGTATCAGAGCTAGTCTTTTGGTTTCGCAACAAGAGACTTAATAGGATCTAATATTGCCTTTACCATGGAGTATGGACTGGAAGTGTAGAATACAACAGGTCAAGTAACATCTGCCCTAACAAGGTTATAATTGTATAAAAGTGCCTTTCTCCTTTAACGGACCAAAAACTAGGTTACGATTGCTGTCAAGGCATCCTTGTTTTAACCTGATGTTGTATTTCTATAATCTATATCAATACTAAACTGGCTTTCGCTGTGGCACAACCACCAGGTCACCAAAAAAGCATACGATTTCTGCATCTTTACTACCAAAAGAGAATATAATTCCAAGGTGAAATCACACTGTTTCAATTGATGAAAAAGCTTGTATGATGTGAGATTAATTAAGCTATAACCTACTGCTCCGATGATTAGAGCACTAGTTTACTGTATACAGCATTCTAGACGGCAATAACTCTAATAATGACTCCATACGTGTCAGTTAAGATGGACCATCAAATCTGAATCAAGATATCCAGAATACCAGATATAGTCTCTGCAACAGAGGAAACAAGATAGCAATACCTCTAAAACATCTTGCTGTGGGGAAGAGGACAAGACGGTAGAAAGGAGCTCAATGCAGTTTCTTGCGACATCAAATGCTTCCTTAGTTTGTTCCTCAGTAAAGCTTAGCACAGGAGCATCACGTTGAAGCTGACGCAAGAGACTAGCATCCGTATCTGAAACTGGATCCGGAGCTGAGACTGTGCGAGGGGGAGTAAAAATAGGTGCCAAGCTCTCATTGTCGCGACCAGGGAACCTAATACCCCTTGATTTCAGACTCTGAAACAAAGAAGCACATAAGACAGAGGTATGAAAAGCATAAAAAAGACCATGCTTGGTAACTTAAGTATCACAAAGCAAATATTACAAGAAAATAGTATGGAGATCACCATGAACTTAAGAAAAACTAAGCCTGTAGCCCGTGGAAATTTTGTAAATAGGGTGTCACATATTACTCCAGATTAAACTCCGCTCTAAGCTACTCTGCTAATTGAAACTCAGTTTCATGTCTTCTTGACCGGTACATCATGAATATTGAAACTAATTTTTTCAGCTGATTCTGCATCCCGGAAAAAAAAAAAAAAAAAAAAAAAAAAACCCAAAAAAGGCACCAATTTTACACATACCTTATATGTTTCTTCATAAACAGGCAAATAGCGGAGCTCACTGGTTGACTCCCCCCATGATTCAATCAGCGTTAAAGCCTTGTTGCGATTGTTAACAACAGTCTGTGGATCATCAATAAGCTTCACCATCTCATCAAGAACTCTCTCAGCTGCCACCTCTGAGAAAGCCTTCTCACAGTTCTTGACACATGTTTCAAGTAGCACTAAAGCAAAGTACTGAACTCTAGGATTCTTCAACATAATTCGCCTCTTTATTCCGCGAATCAGTTCAACACTGTTGAGTTTTTCGGTATTTATCATGTCACAAATGTCGAGATTCAAGGCCCAATCAGGCTCCTCTAAGGCCTCTGATGTAGCATCCTCAGCAAGCTTATCGGCCTGATTGGGGCCTTGGAAAAGCTCCTTCATCTTAACACTCATCGAGCTAATGCCTGCACTCATCTTTTTGCCCACCTCTGTCCCTTCAATCTTGAGGCGTTCGCCAAAAGCACTCACTTTGTCCATTAAATTGTCACTCATTTTTGCAAACCTTTTCTAAAACACAGTCTTATTTACCTGAAAATTAAAAAAAAAGAAACAAAGTTTAGCAGAATTTAACTGAGAAGAGAGAGAGAGAGAGGGGAGAGATTTTTTTTTTTTGAAAAGGAGAGAGGGGAGAGAATTCCTTAGCAAGGCAAATATATATGTCTGTGTGCATATGTATACAATAAATTGAATAGTTGACTAAAAAAAATTATAACGATTAATGAAACTGGATTCTTATCACACCACGTCATCAGATTTCTATATTTGATGTAACTAGGAAACGTAACCATTGTCATAAATTTTTTTAGTCAACTATATAATTTATTATAACTGTCCGATTAATATCTTACGGCTAAAATAATGATACCCATTGATGGTTAAATATTGGAGTAACCATTAAAACCACACCCATAAACATATATCCAACTAATCACACAACCCAATTTGCAACACATATCAAACTATCTTCCAAAAATGGTAAATAATCAACAAAAAATCACAAGTAGCTAAACACAGGAAAAACTATCATAGCAATTTTCACCAATATCAACCAAAAATCAAAATAGCAATTTTCAAAAATAAAACAAATTCCCAAAGCACCAATTAATATTATTTTTAATATTGCAGTTTTATTATAATAAAAACATAAGAACGAATAAGATAAAAAGTAAATACTTTTTATCCTCGTTAAGTTTTCTCCAGCAATCCCTCTATTGCAAGAGTTTTTCCTATCATAAAGGCCACAAATAATGAGAGGAGAGGACCAGAATTAAAAAGAGAAACCAAACAAGAAAAGAGAGTCCACACTCTGACTTTTCTCAGGATCCAAACATGGAAATCAACAAACGAAAACAACCAGATTTATAAAAAGAGTAACAGAGGTAGAGGGAGGGGGGAAAAGAAAAAAAAGAAGAAGAAAGACCACAGTTTCAGTTTTCTCAGGATCCAATCACGGAAATTAACTAATTAAGAGAAAAAGTTATGAAATTTCCCCTTTTTTCGTCGACATTTTTCTTCACCGAATCAGAAACATATACGAGGTTAAACAAACGTTCTCCAATCGAAATATCATTCCATTTTCCAATACCAGATCCCTAATGACAGAAAGGATTAAAAAAACGAGTGGAAGGAAAGCAAAAAAGCTTGGGGCTTTATCTCAGAATCATGGAAAATAACACAGATCATGAATCGTGAAAGTGAAAATCCCAAATCTTCATCTCCATCTCGGCAAATTTCAAAACCCCAAACCTCAAATAAAAGTGAAAAGTTATCCTTTGTCTTTCCTTGTTCGGTAATTTCAACATCCTAATAACTAAAAAAAAAAAATTCAAAACTTCTATTAAATAAAACAAAAATTACGAGATTTCCCAGAAAAAAAAAAAAAAAAAAAAAACCTCAAAAACCCTAAGGAAACCAAAGACGAAGCATTATCGAAGTCTCGTTAACCAATTAATTAAAAAAAAGTACAAGAACAAGAATTCTAAGCCGTCTCATCTAAGCTTGGCCTCTAAAACCCAAAAATAAAATAAAAACCTAATAAGCTCAGATTACCAGTCTAGAAAATTTTCTCTTGCTTTCTTAGCAAGCAAACATTAATGATCGAATCGAACAGACCGAAAACTTTTAAGATGGATCTAGAGAAAAATTAATCCGAAATTGATTGAAAAGGAATAATTAATTAAAACATGAATTGAACCGTAAAGGAAACAAGAGAGAGTACCTGAGAGATTGTTACACTGGTTCGAGCCCAGAACGCGCAAAGACTTGGTAAAGTTTCTGTTTTTCTTCTCTCTCTCTCTCTCTTCTTTAAATTTAAATTAATTAATTAATTATTATTTTTTATTTTCTCGTTTATTTTGTTTTCGCTGGATGTTTCTTCCCTTGGAGTTTGAGTCACTTCTCTCTCTACTATATCTTAACTTCAATAATGTTATTGTTGTTTTCCTTATTTATATTTAATTCATTGATTTTAATTTTTAATTTGAGTTGAGATATAATTTTATATAAAATTTTTTTACTGTAGTAAAAAAATTAAATGTGACTATTTTTAAAAATTTTTTACTGTAATAAAATTTAAATTTTAAACTCAAATCAGTAAAATGAACGAGACCTTAATTATGCGGTTGAAAAGATATTTAGACTTTTTAAAGTTTAGCAAAAAACAGAAAACGAATCCCTTGAGAGAAAAAAAGAGAGTTTCTCTAGTAGGATCGTAAAAATAAAATTACTAGTAGTTTGTTATTTTTTAACTGTCAGATTTGTATAAAAAATATATTTTTTTTAATTTGATTTAATTTTAATCAAATCTAACGATTAGAAAACTAATCCTATAAGAAATACTGCCTACGAAAAAAACTCCAAAAAAAGAAGAGAAAATTTATTATAGATTTTACTTGCGGCATTAGATTTTAGACAGGAATTTCATAGTCAAATTTGGAGAATTATTAGGTAGAGTAAAAAAAAACTATTGTCTTTTTTTTATTTTGTTAACTTTTTTAGAATTCAATTACACGTATAAAATATTATATTTTTATCGGATTGAATTTGAATATTTACATGTCACATCCTAATGTCATTAAAATGTCATTCTAATATGATTTTTTTTATATGACATTCTAACGTGATTTTGGAGTGAAAAGTTACTCGTTTTGCACCCAAAAATAATAGAATATAACAATGAAATTAAGAGAACTTTTTATAATAAGAGTTTCAACTTGAGTTATATTACATTAAAATTAAGATTTTGTAATAAAATTCTCACGTTTTAAAAAATTTTGACATTTGATTAGTAGTATATTTTACTTTTTCATTTAATCATTATAATATTAACAGTTTACTTTTTAAAAAAAATTTAATACAATTTGCAAAGTTGAATAATTATGAGAAGTAAATTTAGCATTTGAAATAATCAAATATCATTATATATTGAAGTACACATTTTAATTTAAATTTCTTTTAGAAAAGATATTAGCATCAGAAAAAGTACGAGATTTTTAAAGGAAATGATCGATTCTCTACACACACTCACATGATAATAAAAGAATGTATAAGTCTAAATTTTTATCTCTTATTTTTAATAAATATTTTTTTATTAGTATAATTATTTAACTAAAAAAAATTATAAATTAAGGATAACGATTCTGACTCGTATACTTTTTAAGGTATTTGCGAAGATTACTCGTTCACTATTGCATAATCTAGTTGGGCTTCTAAGAGCATGGTCTAGCCCAATAACTCCAAAGTTGGCTCAGGTCCACTAAGAGTAGGAAAAACCCCGGAAGGCAAAAGAGGCTAGCGAGTAAAGCATCGAAAAATCGTTCCTTTTCTCTTCCGACAACCGCCGTCAAACGCCGCGTCCCTCCGCCTCCCCTCCGCTGCTCTCTTCTCAGCTTCCAGGTTTCTCTCTCCTCTTAATCTCTGTTTCTCTGTGGCATTGTTTAAATCAAGTAAATTTTTTTACTTTTTATTTAGTTTTCTTTTCAGTAAACGATGTAGTTACCGAGCTGTAGGGTGTAGAAGCAGACCTTTTTGGGCTAGATCTTTTTTGGAATTACGTTATTTTAGAATTAAGGATTTTTTCTTTTCTTGGTTTTTTTTTTGGATAAAAGATGTCGTTTTTAGGTAGTTTCGGCCGACCTACGGTGTGTGGAAGCAGATTTGTTAACTAGATGTACAAGTATCCTTTCTGGAATTATGTAATGTTGTTAGAGATGGTAAAGTTTTTATTGATTGTATTAAACTGTGCATGTTTCTAGGTAGATTGGTTGCTATAAGCTAAAATTGTAGCATTATTGAAATCATGGTATTGTTTGAATCCATGAAAGTTACTTTTCTTTTTTGCTTTTGCTTTTGGACAAAAGACTTCGTTTTCGGTGATTTCCGCCCAGCTGTGGAGTGTATAATCAGACTCATTAATCACAAGCATTTTTTTTTTTTTTAATTATGTTGTTGATATATGAATCTTTTTTTTTTTTTGGCTGAATATATGAATCTCTTAGTTGATTGTATTAAACTGTGCCTGTTTTTAGGTAGATTTGTTAGTATACGCTTCATCGCAGTAGCAGCGTGGGGGTAGTTTTGTTGGGCGGGGGGGCCAGGGAGGAGGGTGGATATGGAATTTAGCTGGCTGAGCGCCATAATAGTAGGGGCTGGTTGCCTTGCTTTGGGGTACTTGGTGGGTGCATCTTACAGATCACCCAAAGGAGCGGCTCTTATTAGTTTTGGAAGCAAGAAGAAGAAGAAGGATAACCCCAAAGAGCCTCTTGAAATTGAAAACCTAGCTGACATTCTTGATGATTTCAAAATGGTATTTTCCTCTCTTTCCATTAATGTATGTTAAGTTTTTTTTTTTTTTTAAAACCCTATTGTTCATTTTTTTGCTTCCCTCTTTTTCCCGTTTCAGATTTTGGTGGTGAGAAATGATCTGAAGATGGGCAAAGGGAAAATTGCCGCGCAATGCAGGTACCTTTTGAATTTGTATGTAATATCTGCTTTTGCACATATTTGAAAACATTATAGTTTTCGAATGAACTCAAGTCAAAAGAGAGGAAATATTAATAAAAGGGCAAGACAAGAATCTTAAACAAGAGGACAACAAATCAGAAAACCTATAGGAGGGCAAACCTAGAGGCCAGAACATCTCTGCTTCGTAAAAGGCCATGGAGAATTGGGAGCCTAAAACCACCACATTTTCTTCCTATTTCTTACATCTAAAGAAGCTACTTTATATATTTTTAAACTAAAGATTGAATTTTTTAGCTATGTTGCTGTGTCATTTGGCACTGAAAATTGCATTCTGAGATAATTTCTTACAAACATCGTTGCTCTATTTGATAGTCATGCGACCTTGGGTCTTTATAAAAAGCTCCTCCATCGAGCGCCAAAAGCACTAAACAGGTACGACCACTTGCTAATCTAATCTGGGTTTGTGTCTGTCTCTGCCTATTAAACGACATTTGCATATTTAATCTCCCTGTTTCGTTTGACCATTGTGATATGCAGATGGGAGATGTGCGCACAGCCTAAAGTGGTTGTGAAAATCGAGAGTGAGGAGGATATGCTCATCTTGCAGGTTAGTATCTATATCATTCAGAAATTAGTCAGTTCAAGCAAGTCAGGCAGGCTTGCTTCTTTCTTTTTTTTGTTTTTTGTTTTTATGTTTGTTTTGTTTTGTAAAGCTTGTAATGCTTTTCCCTTCATATGTGAAATTACATCCACGCTCATTTTCCTTTCCATGCCATTTTGATTGAACTGTTATTTTTCAACTCATCTTCTGCACCATCTGAGGTCTCGCTTGTATTCACACGCTAAATTAGGTGAAGAAACCGATGTTCTTACTTTGCCTATTTTTCTTGTCCGTACTCTGATGTTTCCAACGGATCCAGTTCCCTTGCCTCATATATTCCTACTCGTGGTCTAGACTTACAATGTCATAAAATCATAATTGATGTTCAACAGGAGAGGGCGAAATCTCTCAAGCTACCAACCCACATCACAATTGATGCCGGAAAAACTCAGATTGCACCAAGTGAGTTGCTATAATCTCTATATTCAATCATGCTGATCACTTTTTTGGTAGTTAAATGTTCTTTCTTTAGTTTTACTTCTCTTTTAATGGTGTAATTTTAAGTTTCCTTGGGGTGTCTGGGAGTAGAACCAGCTCTGAACTTTGTATGAAAGAAGAACTTATTTGGACAATTGTTGAATTAATTGGTGCTTCAAGAGCCATACTTTCTCACCTTTTCAGATAGATATTCCGTGTTACAAATGACTATGGTGTTTATTGCTTTCTTAATTTTGGACTTTCTGATCCCAAGTGCAAAGTTGTTCCTTGAAGTCTTTCAATGTATCACGTTTGACTATACACGTAGATGTTCTTTTTTGTATTGTTCACCTTGTGCTCTTTTTTGTATAGTTCACCTTATAGTTAATTTTTCTTTTTCTTCCAGATTCAAGGACGGTGATGGCTATTCTTGGTAAGTCTTCTCTTCATCAATCTCTTCTCGTCTCATTGGTCCCTGTAAATTGGCAGGACTTATATACCCTTTTCTGGAATAGGAAAAACCTATAAATAACAACACCACCAGGCACCAACAACCAAAAAAAGTAGAATCAAGTCCAAAAGCAAACTATGAATTCCCCTCTCACGGAGTCGTCGCAGTATTTTCCTTGTTTCATTGAATTTTTTCCAAGCATTATTATCTTGTGTCATTCATTCTGGAAAAAATAATTTTTTTTTAAAAAAAACCTATGATTTTAAGTAGAAACCAGTCCAAAACAAATTACAATATCCCTCATCACATAGCTAGTAACCTTATTTTTCTTTTTTCTCTTTAAGCATTGTTTTTCATCATTAGTAGCCAGATGATCGCCATATGAGACACATCCTTTTGTCTCGCGTGATTCACTCTTATATGTTGATTTTTCAAATTTTATTTTATTTTTTGTGTTTCATTTTCATGCAGGACCAGTTGAAGTTGTTGATGATGTAACCGGTGGACTGAAATTGTTGTAGTTTTGCCGCTTTCGAGCGGATTCCGCGTTTATCTTTAGTTGAGTATGATGATGATGATGATTTCCGGAAGACATGAACGATCAGTCACTACTTATGAGAGCTTATCCATTAGCAAAAGTGATGATATTGGAAGGAATATTGGTCTAATTTCATGCTTTTCAGTTTTCAGTTACATTAATGGCGTCATTTACTGGTAAATTAAAAAAGGATTGATAATTTTATTGGTTAAAAGAAGTAAGATATTGACAGGCACCAATACCCCTCGAATGTTTGTTTTCAATATTTGGCCAACATTTTAATCTTCTCAAGTAGAATTATATGCAAAAAGAGAAAATGCTAGAAACAGAACAATATACTTGCCAAGAAATAAAGAAATAGTGTAAATACATTATAATTTATTATTTATATCAATATAATAGAGAAAAAAGATTACTCCCTTCTGCCTTTTCTTTTCAGAAAGTTACGTGACACATATTCATTAAGTCACTTTCAAGTTATGTCCATTTATGATGATGCCGAGATTGTTTGAGATGCTCTTATTCCATGCTAAATAAGAGCTGTATTGTAAGTGGTTTCACAAACATAAAAATGGAGAATAATACCATTTATCTTTCAGACTTCAAAACAATTCTCAAATTTGGGGGCCTGCTATTTTTGTGGAAATGGAGGTGTAGCTGTTCCTAGTTGTCAGTTCAAAAACCACAAGTAAGGGTTCCAAAAATCAACCTTCACGTAAACAATTATTTATTTTTTCCAACCATATAAGTTGTGAGCCCCTTTTCAAGTCCAAGGCGTTTGGTTCTAAACAATTTTCATAGAATAGTGTTCTGTCCACACAAGGAAGACTACTTCATAAGCTTAACGGGTCAAGGAATTACGGTGAGCGTGGTAAAATTGGCAACGGTAATACTAACAGCAATGGTCACGGTGATGGCGGAAGATTCCATGCCGCTGAAAATGGGTGGCCACCTTTGTGAGGTGGTGGACAGCATCAACCATCGGAATGAAGAAGCAGGCTCTTACATTGGCCTTGTCATGGCTTATCCCCTTGATGAACTTGCCCTTCTAAACTGTGCATGCTTTAAACCCGACTCCCAACCCTCCTATGTTGAATTTGCCGGTTGCTTCTTTTTCTCTCGTCTCTTATACATACACAATCAAATATATTGTAACCACATATTCATAATGACAAATTTGGTTCAACTTGCTCAGGAAGGACGTTCCACATTGGCAAGATTAAGGGTGGGGATGTAATTTACGTTGTGACAGGGGAGAAAAGTGTTAAGTAGCTCCTTTACATATTTGATTTCTAACTTAAAAACTTTCTACAGGCTTAATTGACAACTTTTTGTGATATATACTGATCTAGGTAAATGCAGCCATAACTGTGCAAATGCTTGTGGATAAATTCAATATTAAAGGAATCGTTCATTATGGAACATCAGGAAGTGCTAACTATGCCTTGAACCTTGGGAGCGTTGGCATCCCAACTCATGTTGCTTTCACAAGTTCCTGGGACTGGAAGGTATAGTTCTAACTGCAGAGCTGTCTCATAGGGTTATTTTCATAACTTTAGGATTTAAATCACACGGTGTATATCGCATGGGCGTAGATACTATAAAAAAAAAAGAAATTAATTTAACATCGTCTGATTTGAATCATATGGACAAGACCAATGAATCAGTAAATCTCGCAAATAAATATTGATGTTTCACCTGATTGTTGGAATTTTACCTAGTAATGCGTCCTATGTTTTACCATGACATACATAGGAAATCAAGTCAGAGAAGGGGCAAAATCAAGAGCTCATTTTTTGGGGATTTTAATTTTCGCAACCCGGGACAGAATTTGTTGGGAAAGGTGGAGTTCAGACCACATCAATTGTTCTCCAATAGTAAACCCAATCAAGATGTTTTCTGGCTTCCAATTGAACCAAAATGGTTGACTCTTGCTACTCAACTTAAGGTTTTTTCTTTCTCCTTCTTCCTCATCTTCTCAGTAAAATTCCATTTGGTTTGAAATATGGTTAGTTTCTAGGGAACCAAAACATCCAAAGATTGAAATGCTATTTCATTATAGATAGCGTGACAACATAATCCCCATCAATCTTTAATTGATTCGTAACATTAACAACGCAAAGTCTAATTCAAAATAAATTAAGATTAAGGAAAACAAAATTACACGTAAAAGTATCTTAGATCATTTAGAACAATAGCATCTTACTAACGGGATTTGGTCTTTTATATGGTGAGAACAGAATTTGGAGTTACAACATTGTATAACTGTAAACAAGACATATTGCCTGGAAGAATTTCCAAAGTTGGCTTATGATGTGCGAGGTTCTACTGCTGATGTATATCTTCACAATATGGCATATAGGGAATTCCTTTACAAGAAATTCAACGTATCAAATGTTGATCAAGAGAGTGCTGCTGTCGTGGCGGTTAGTGCCGAAATTTGACTGTTAATCAAATGATTTTATTTAGGAGAATTCTCAGTAGGATACAAAAAGAATATCTTATCGGTACTGTGCAATTATAAAACATCCTATGGAAAATGTACAGTACCAATAAAGATACCGTACTACAGAAGTAACAATTTGTTTATTTATTTGGATTGAGTTATAGAAAGATTAATAAATGGTGCTAATTGTGCAGACAAGTCTGTCGAATGAAGTGCCTTGCATCGTGTTTCGCGGTGTGTCGGATATGGCAGGCGGAGCTGAACCAATAACATCGACTAGAAGCATCTTAGACTTGGCTGCTGCTAATGCTCTACATGTTGCCGTTGAGTTCATTGCTCTGTTGAGCGACCAAACAACTACCCTCCATGACCCGTAGAATTATCTGACCTCCCTAAAAGAAATACATTTTATGATGCTAAAATTGACAAGATATATAAGCATGTTAAAGTACTCCAAGGTGTTATCCTTCATCAATGATGCTATGAAATAAGGACCATGTTATCAAATAAGAATTTTTCTAGCATTTTGTCAACATTTTCCATATTATTTCGATTATAAATGTTGAGAATCCCAAATGAGAATTGCATCAGGAAATTAAAGAGGGCAAGTACATTTTAATTATCCCAAAAGAACAAAAAGATTCTACTTGCAAGTTTGTAAGCGGTTGGATAAACATAATAATAATTGGGATTTTTGGGAAAGAATACATGTCCCTACACCAGTAAAAAATTACTTTCTTCACTTTAAGATGCAGCTTTTCTTATGTTCTCATGTGCATTGTTCTCTTCTAAAATTGAGACATGGTCTTATTCAACAAGGTGTGTATCAATCAATATATTTTTGTTTTGCTGGTAAAAAAAGGGGATCAATGATGTCCTCACGCCCCATTCAGCACGGTTGAACAGTAAAAATGATACAAGGTATTATTGGACAAGGTCTTATCGTGTTTGAGCTTCAATATTATGCAGAATTTCTATGGTAGGTTGCCCCATCCATGGAGCTATTGATCTAGGTAGTATGATTTAAATTGAATGGTATCTATAAAGTACGTCTGATGATGTTGTCTAAGAAATCTTTTCACGGAATCCAATCCCTGTTCATGAGGGCCTCCTGATTTAAACAATTTAGTGTATGGTAAATGGCAGCATAAGGTGTGTACAATAAGACACCTTAATACATATGTACACACACACACACACATTTTATACATAATTATGACTACCATAAAATATATAATTTAGAAGTAATAAGAATAATTGTGGAGGGGTGTGTTGTGTTTCACGTGGTTTACTAAAGTGGCTAGTGACGGCGGGTAGATGTCTATAATCATATTGACGTGCTCACAGCCATTCATTTATAGATAATATGTAAATATCATAATAAAGTAGAAAAATAGGTCATCTTCTTTAGACCATAATAGTTGGTTGATTGTGGATCCACTGGTCGAGTTGTGATTTTGCAAGAATATTGTAACCGAGTGTGATTAGAGGATCATCATCCAATGGAGGTGACAGTAGTAGTACTTATCATGATGATGATGATTATGATGATGGTGATGCTGATGCAGGTCCAGCATTCTATGGAGCTGAAGCTGATCAATCATCTTATCTTCATAATCATGATCAGAAAGAGGTAGTGGAATTAAGGATCAACAAGAAGGCAGAAGCAGGTTCATGTACTACATATATTGGCCTTGTCATGGCTTATCCCCCTGAAGAAGCTGCTCTTCACAACTCTGGTTTCTTCGTTCCCAGCTCCAACATCCCCTTTGTTGACTTGGCCGGTTTCTCTCTTCTCTCTCTCTCTCTGTATAACTGTATGCACTATATACACTATTGGAGGAGCCTTTCACTAAATGGGCCTATTGCAAACCCAATGGGCTGGTGCCACGCAGCAAATAACCCATCATTACTTAAGGCTCTAGTCCTGTACGCAAGAACATTGCTATTAATTTGTAACTATTGGTTGCTGAGTTTTTTCTTATAAAAATTTATTGCTATTGGTAATACATCATTACAATTTTAGAAGTTAAAGAACTGTCACATTGCAAAAAATGAAAATTACTGAGTCCCACACTGTTATGTGACAATTTTGATGCGCTCACATATATATAGTAATTGCATTACTGGTAGTAATAAACAACATTTTTCAATTTGTAATGGTGGACACGTCCTTGGAGTAACAATATGAGAATTGAGAAGTATCATTTAAGGCTTTCTGATTGCCCAGGTAGAAGGTTCAACATTGGGAAGATAGAGGGTGTAGATGTAATCTATGTGATGACTGGGAAGCAAACTGTAAGTTTATCTTCTTAATTTCTCAATTGGTTAAAATATTGAGAAATTTCTCAATTGATGTACACAAAACCCAGAACAAAGCTCATAGAATAATTTCTAGTCAAATCTGTTGGGAATGAAGAAAGCTATAATGAGACTGAAAAAGGCTTCCTCAATGAAAGTACAACAAAGGGAAATTAAAGAAAGCTTATAAATAGGTAATTAAGAGTCATCTTAAGGTCTCAAACAAAAGATAAAAGCAACATACGAAAAAAGAAATCCATAAACCCTAGTCCCCTAGCAAGCATGCATATGATAGTTACTCGTCTGCATCTGCATGATCAGGTGCATCAAATTTAAGGAATGCAGGATTGACTTGAGGGTAGTGAACGGCAAGTCGAATAAAGTGCACGTCACTGATCTTGTTACGGATATTCACGTAAACCTCTGTCTCATAGAAATTATTGTCTGATACTTTGATTGTCAAGTAGTACATTTTGTCGGAGCAGAGTCGGACATTCGCCCTCACAACTTCCACAAGCTCCAGATTTGTTCCCTGTAAATCATTCATTTGTTATACGTCCCTCAAATATATATATATATCTTTTCCAACTTTTCTTAAACACAAAATCTTGAAACGAAATCATATATCTCTTCTTAGCAGCATAAAAGCCCTAATTAATGAACAAATAATTTTGAAAGCTTCCATTACATATACCAGGCTATTATTTACGAAGGAAATTGCGAGATTCGCAGCCTCAATCACATCAATATCATCTGTAGACCCGCGAACAATTCCACCGAACTCAGGCGTAAGCTGATCATGCCTCCAGTTACCAGCGTAAAAACCCTAATCATAAATGAACAAATAATAATTTCATTAAGAAGAATGAAATTTTAAAATCACAATAACATACTTAAATATACTTATATATATATATATATATATATATATCTTAGTACCTCAGTAAGGTGGACGAGCGTTGCGCGTTTTGCGGTATTAATCAAACGCGGATCGTTGGGTTCATTTACTTGAATTAATGATACATCAGGAAAACGTGCAGAAGAATCAACAATCGTTTAGTATCGTAGTAAATAATAATAACAAGAACAATATATAATAGTTCTAATTCTAAAACTAAAACAAGTAAAGAAAGAGAACTATATACGGCTAACTAGTCGACCATCAAAGAAACATACTAGTGTGATCAAAGGAATTAATATAATTAACAAATATTAATTAAAGAAGAACAAATTGAAGATATGGAAAAGGTGCATACCATCCGACAATGGATTTGGACATGGATGAAGCCCCAGAAAGGCCATGATCGAATTGGGAGAATTTTTAGGGAAGAATATTATGAACAAGTAGAAATCTTATTAGGATGGTAAGTGAACGAATGGGGGCATGCACTCGATCGTATTCAGGAAAAGAAAAAAAAAAACTAGGGGTATATATTGTAAAGTTTTAGATTGAGGGAATCGAATGGCATAGCCCTTTTCCATTACTAGGTTGAATATATATAGCGTACAACAACAACGGAACCTAGGAAATCTAGGAAACTTGAATTTTAAGTTAAACACAGATTCTAATTACACTTCATTACAAAATTTGAAAATTAAAGTAAATCAGATTTAGAATCTGATTCACTAATATGCCCCCGCAAGTTGGAGCTCTGGGAGGAGAGACCAATCTTGAGTAGTAAATCGCAGAAACGTGTGCGAGGTAATGGTTTAGTGAGAGCATCTGCAAGTTGGTCCGTAGAGGAGACATGTGTTACACGTAGATGACCATTTTGAACTTGTTCACGAATAAAATGATAATCTAGAGCAACGTGTTTCATGCGGGAGTGAAACATAGGATTAGAGCAGAGATTAGTAGCTCCCACGTTGTCGCAGTAGATCACAGGTTTTTGTGTGGTGGAGATACCAAGTTCACCAAGTAGAGAGATGATCCATCGAAGTTCAGCCGCTGTAGCAGCAACTGAACGATATTCAGCCTCAGTTGAAGAGCGAGCAACCGTTCTTTGTTTCTTAGACGTCCAAGAGATTGGATTGCTGCCGAGGTAAATGATGTAAGCACTAGTAGATGTGTAGTCATCTTTGTTTCTGGCCCAATCAGCATCGGAGAATGCATGAAGATCAAGAGGTGAGCGACGATGGATGACAAGGCCGTGATCAATGGTGCCACATAGATACCAGAGAATGTGTTTTGCTGCATTCCAGTGTTCGGTAGTCGGACGATGCATGAATTGTGACAGTTTGTTGACAACATAAGCAATATCCGGATGAGTCAGAGATAAATATTGAAGACTGCCAACAACTGTTTGGAACTCTGTCGGATCCGTGAGTGCCGTGCCTGAGTGCAGGGTAAGGACGGGTGTGGTTGCTAGTGGTGTTGCAACCGGACGAGCATCTGTCATCTTGGTTCGTGCTAAGAGGTCGGCAATGTACCGCTTCTGAGAGAGCAGGAGTCCGTGAGGGTGAGCTGTAACTTCAACACCAAGAAAGTAAGACAAAGGACCAAGGTCCTTAAGTGAGAATCGGTTGGCAAGAAGTGTAATGAAGTCCTGAACATCTGTTAAATGATTGCCAGTGATAATAATGTCATCAACATAAACAAAAAGAAAAATGGTGACCCTCCCGTTGTTGAATATGAAAAGTGAGGTATCTGCCGAGGAATTGCGAAATCCCGAGTGAAGAAGAAACTGGCGAAGTTCATTGTACCAAGCCCGTGGAGCTTGCTTGAGACCATAAATGGCTTTTCGTAGCTTGCATACATGATGAGGATGATCGGTGTCAATGAACCCCTGTGGTTGCGACATGAAGACATCCTCGGTAAGTGTGCCTTGAAGAAAGGCATTGTTGATGTCAAGTTGGCGAAGAGACCAGCCATGGCTCACTGCAAGAGAAATAACTAGTCGAACCGTAGTAGGTTTGACAACAGGACTGAATGTTTCATGATAGTCCACCCCAGGACGCTGATGAAAACCCTTGGCAACAAGTCTCGCCTTGTACCTGTCAACAGAACCATCAGGTAATCTTTTAATACGAAAAATCCATTTGCAGCCCACAATGTTTTGTGCCTCCTGTGGGGGAACCAATTCCCAAGTGCCATTGCGGACCAAAGCATCAAACTCCTCGGACATGGCCTGACGCCATTTATTATCCTTGATGGCCTGGGTTTCACAGGTTGGTTCAATTTCTTGAGCAAGTTGAGTAGAGAGATTGAGTTTGGTAATGGGTTTGAAAATCTGGTTGTGTGAACGGGTAATGATTGGCGAGGCACGGGAGGATATAGAGGATGTGTCTGGTGGGTCAACACTTAAGGGTTCAGTTGGGGAAGGAACAGGTGGGGAGGGCTCGGCTAGTGAAGTTATGGAAGTTGTGGGCTCGGGGAACTGTAGTGGGGCCGAGGTGGGTGAGCATGGGTGGGAAGCCGAGGAGGGTTGAGAAACAATTCTGGGCGCAGGGTCTCTTGGGACTGAGGGACTGGTGAGTACGGGTTGGTGTAGCTCTGGGATTGGAGTGGAGACAGATGAAGTGATGAGGCCTGCCGGGGTTGGCGCGGGCGATGTGTGTGAGGCCGGAACCAGAAGGGCGACAGGTAACCAAGTGGAGCGAGTGCTATCATCTGAAGGAGCGAGAGTGGGACTTAGATTTTTCATGGGAAATATATTTTCTACAAACCTAACATGCCGGGAGGAGTAGAGTTTCTTGGAAGAGGGATCATAACACTGATAGGCACTTTGAGTGGATGAGTAACCAAGAAAGACGCATGAAGTGGACCGGGGCTGAAGTTTGTGTGATGAATAAGGTCGTAGCCATGGATAACAAAGACACCCGAAGACACGCAATTTGGAGTAATTGGGGGGTGAGTGAAATAGTTTATGATATGGGGATTGCAATTGCAAGGAAGGAGTTGGAAGGCGATTGATGAGGTGGACAGCAATGACAAATGCATAGGACCAGAACACAAGTGGTAGAGATGCCCGGGATAGAAGTGCAAGACCAGTTTCAACTATGTGCCTATGACGACGCTCGGAAAAACCATTATGTTCTGGTGTGTGGGGTGGTGAAGTAAGATGAGAAATGCCATGTGAGGATAAAAAGGTTGCAAGACCAGTATATTCCCCCCATTGTCAGAGTAAAGTGTAACAATTTTTGTTTGAAAATAGTTTTCAACAAGGGCTTTGAAACGCGGAAACACAATAGCAACATCAGATTTCCTTTTAAGTGGATAGAGCCAGATATAGTGAGTATAGTGATCCACAAAAATGACATAGTATTTGCAATTATCAATGGAATGAAGAGGAGAAGTCCACACATCAGAGAAAATAATTTGAAGCGGAGCATGAGAAACAAGAGAAGATTGTGAAAAAGGTAACTTGTGACTTTTATTGCATTGACAATCCGAACAATGAAGAGACTTTGAAATTGAGGATGACAAATCTAATTTAAAATTGCTAGCAATATGCCTAAGAACAGACTCAGAAGGATGTCCTCAACGATGATGCCAATCAATCGGAGAGGCTTTGACACTGGAAAAAGCAATGACAGACTCGGTGGTGGAAGGAGAAGTCGGCCACTCATACACACCGCCCTTAGTGCGCCCCTGTAGAAGTGTTGCCCCCGTGAGCAGATCCTTCACACGAAAACAAGTAGGTAAGAATTCAACTGAGGTGTTATTTGAATGACAAAATTGGGAGATAGAAATAAGATTGCGCTTCATATTTGGGACACATAAAACATCATTCAATTTAAACGTGTGAGAGGATGTAGGTAAGGAGGTATAGCCTGTATGAGTAATGAATAACCCAGTACCATCACCAATAATAATGTCATCAGGACCATCATACGGAGAGTGTAGTGACAGATTGTTCAAGTCAGCAGTAACATGATGAAAAGCACCACTGTCAAGAAGCCAGGTAGGCGAGTTGGTGCTTGAGGCAGTGGCCATGTGTGCTTTTGGTTGCCACTGACGATTAGGAGGGTGTTGTTGGCCCGGAGATGGCTGCTGTGTTAGGGCCACAGTTGAGGAGGAGGCCGGAACAAGTTGATAATGTGGGCACTGGGAGACAGAGTGACCTTGGGCACGACATCCTTGACATTTGCCAAGGTAAGGACGCTGTTGGCGTGGTCTAGAGGAGCCGGCATTAAGTGATCGTGCAGGCGAAGAGGACGCAGAAGGAGATGACCAAGGCGGGCGTGTAGCCGAGGCATGAGGACCTGAGGAGAATCGGCCAGTTGCAACATTTGCCGTGACCGGGAGAGAGGAGATGGCTGAGCGAGATTGCTGAAGCGATAACTCACGAGTAATCAGTTTCTCATGAAGTTCATCGAAAGAAATAGGCGTGTCACGGCCTTCAACGATGTCAATGATGGCTTTATAGTCATCATCCGGACCGGCAAGGATTTTCTCTTTTAAGTCTTCATGATCAAGAGGCTTGCCGAGTGCCGCTAGTTCATCCGAACGACACTTAATAAATTGCATGTATTCAGATATGGTCTGGGAGCCTTTAACACAATTTTTGATTTGATCCTTAATTTGCTTGATGTGGCCACGGGACGGGCGAGCGTAGGTGTTAGCTAAAATTAGCCAAGCGTCACGGGTTGTGGCTGCTTGTTGTATGAGCGGAATGAGCGGTGAGGAGATGGATCCAACAAGAGCGCCAAACAGCAATTTGTCCTGTCGTATCCATGGAGAATAGGCCGGATTGGGTGTGTCACTGTCATTGGTGCGTACCGTAAGAGGAGGACAAGGGTGTGAGCCATCAATATATTTATATAGGTCATATCCAATAAGAAGGGCTTCAATTTGGAGTTTTCAGGATAGATAATTTGTGGAGATGAGTTTAACAATATTTTGATGAGAGATGTTTATCAATTGGAGAGGCTGAATCAGATTTTCTGGATTAGGAATGGTGACAGCCTGTTGATCGGCAACCATGGTGTGGAACAGAATGAAGAAGATCAGAAAATAGAAGAGAGAAGGGCTGGCGAGTTTAGAGAAGAAGGGCTGGCGAGGATCGGCGGCTCTGATACCATGTAAAGTTTTAGATTGAGGGAATCGAATGGCATAGCCCTTTTCCATTACTATGTTGAATATATATAGCGTACAACAACAACGGAACCTAGGAAATCTAGGAAACTTGAATTTTAAGTTAAACTGGCGCAGAGAAAGGGAAACAAAAAAGGTAATATAATAAATCTGCTGCTAATTAAGCAACTCTCTAAATTAAACTTTGATTTGAGACGTTATGATCTCCACAAAAAAAAAAAAAAAAAAGCCTTTTAATTTGTTACCCAAAAATTAAATTTTTCGTCTTTAAAAAAATATTAATTTCATCAGACGAAATATAGCATGAAAGGAAAAAAAAAAAAAAAAAAGGTAACAAAATGGTAAGTATAATTTTCCTTTTAAGGAAAAATGTTAAAAGGATAGTTGACATGTAACTTTCAATGAGGTTTACTTTTTGAAAAAAAAAATGACGTGGCACAAATTTTTTTCCGAGGAAAACGTTGGAATAAATTATTCTTTGCTAGTGACGATTTACTCTTTTCTATAATTAACTTGCCTCTTTTTTTTTTTTTTGATAAGAATTATAACTTGCCAATTAGGAGACTATTTTTATCATCAATGGTCCACAGAAAATCATTTATCTCCTGTAATATTGTCGTTATCTTATATAAAATTGTCGTTGTTCACATACTTATGATTGTCGTTGTTTTTAGTTTTTACTATGCCACTTCCATGACATAAATTTTACATAGCGTTATAATGAGTAGTAATTTTGGTTTTCTCCCTATATGAAGCTTCAACTCATATTTTCCCCAACCCTTCATGAACTACATTTAAGAACTAGTTTGAATAAGTAAATGTAAATATAAATAAATATTTTACAATCTCCAGTCACAAAATCCTACGGCCAGATGTAACCCAAATCTTTAGAATACGTCGTTTTAAAGTTTAGAGTGTGTTAATTTTGAGAGCCCTCTCATTCTTCGGATTTTCGTCACTATCTCACTGTTGTTTTCCGCATTAACCTTCATATCGAATTTTCCTTTCAATGTTTTTCTTCCTTTAGCCAGGTGTTCCTGTTTTGAAATCAAGAAGAAAAAAGATAAATGTCATAATAATTAATAGTAAGGTAAGCTAGTTTTTACCCCCCAAAAAAAAAAAAAAAAAGGCATAAAATTTCTTCAGTGTATATCATCAACTTCCATGATGGGCATATATGTTTATTAAAGTACAATGGTCAGAAAGCAAAGGAAAATGTTATAATTCCTTTTGGTCAAAATATTTTAAGGCTTCAAATTAAAGTAATTTTGCAATTTATCGTGAATGAAAAGATGACGAAACTGCTAGTAATTATTTGGGATTGAATTTTCTTTTTATACGTATTCCTTATATCACATGAGTCTCGTTAGATTAGTAGATTTTGTGAGTAAACACATGAAAGTATATTAGATTGAAAAAAAAAAAAGAAAAGAAAAAAAAATGAATAATAATGGAAAGTTCGCAACACAATATATTTCGCTTTCTCATTCATGATCACAACCATAAATACAAAATAAAGAATAGAAAACCAAGTGAAACAAACAATAAGTTCATGGATGAGTTGAGAAACTTACCCCACAAAGCGCATCATACTCATTATCCGTTGGATTATTATTAGTTATATGAGTACTCTTGAGACAATATTTGTGTTTAGCGTATAATGAATATGATCCCTTTGTTTCTTGCTGAACTAATTCCCTCAGTATTTGCTCCTCTTGCTCAAACCTTTTCGCTGCTTCTTCATATGCTGAAATGTCCTCTCTCATGAAGACTACTGTACATTTGCTCCCAATACATGATGAACAATCAACCCAATGAGTCTCCGCATCCCAAACTTCACCATCAACAAATTAAATGAAATAATCAGGCAAAAAGCAACACTTAATTTATAACACCATAATTCAATGAAATGAAACTTATGCAGAAGCAACGTCTAACTCTGATCCGTCCAGGGTAAATGACTAATTATGTCCCGCGTACCATGTCAACTAAAAGTCAAGAATAATAACACCAGAGAACTCACAGAGAACTCCAATTCGTGTTGAGCGGGGTTTAACCGCATCAGTTGTGTCAGAATTTTATAGGCTAGAACACTTTTTTTTTTTGTTTTTTTGGTCAACTTTTTTGAAGGAAACTAGGACTTGGAAAAACAAAAGTAAACTTAGAAGTAAGTTTTAAATAAGAATGGAGTTTCATAGCCCTTTCCATAACACTTCTAAATTGTTTTAGTACAAAATATAGTTCAAACATGTAAGGAGTCGTACCATGGTTAAGGCAGATGGAATAAGAATAACAGCGATTGCACATCATGCATGCCAAGTAACAATCAGATTTGCAAAGGTTGCATATTATGGTTCCTTGTGAAGTTGGCCAGAAGCTCAACAGACTCGTCAGAGTGTCATGACTAATTAAGCGCCAGAACACTCGCTCATAGAATCTAACAAGACGCACGAAAGAAAGTTTGATCGAGAAGTGAGAGGTGAAATCTGCGGCTGAGTAGTGATCTAGACCTTCATCATGTTTTAGAGACTCGTACAAAAGCATCGCTTCTTTACACACAAGTTCCTCATATGGAATGGTTGGTGTAACTCGTAGAAGCGCATACCGCTGACTAGCCTGAGCCCCAAAATGAAACCAATCACCAGCTGCAAAATTCACAGCCTCGCCGCAGTTGAATCCTAAGTTGCACAAGCAAAAGAGTCATCATGAAGAGAACTATATAAAGTCAAAGAGAGATAGGAGATATATTGGTATGTGTACCATGGCTAAATCCAGAATGATATGCTCTTGGAAATGTGACGACAAACTCTCCTGGCATTTGTAAGACCTTGTAAACAGGCACATCGTTTTTAAGCAATATGTTTGGAGGAAACATGGTTGTTTTCTCTGCAAGACGTTTAGAAGCCCCATCCACTCCCTCGTGTTGCAAAATATCGCGGCTGTAGACATGATCAAGGACTATTTTCTCGAATTCAAGAGCAAAATCGCCAGGCACGCCGTACCATGTTTTTGGCGCGCCAGAGTGATGATAATTAATGCTGAAATCGGAAATTAAAAGGGGTAAATTCATTGAGAAAAGGAATTGATCAAAAGCAATATATATATAAGATCAGATCATGAGCAAGAAAAAGAACCTTGTGGATTTTTTATTTTAATTACCTGTACAGGAAGTGATCTTCCACATGCCAAGCAAAAATACTGAATAACATTCCAATGTAAAGCATAGGATCTGTGATTCCCTGATGTTAAATCGACGTATTAAAACTCGAACGATACCAGTCTAATATCATGTTGCTCAATAAATGGATTTAAACTTATATCATAATTAAGGATGTTTATCGTTGTACCGGGATAGCTCTTTCAAGTACACGCAATGTTGACTTGGGAAGCCGTGAGAGATTCTGCGTTAAAAAGAAGCTATTGATGAGTGGAGAATAGAATGAATAAAATATATACTACTCAGATCTAAACAAGAGAACTTTTAAAAACAGAGAAATTAGATTATTAAAAAAATAATAATAAAAAAACACCTTCAAGTTCCATTTGCTGTTTTCAAAAGGGTCGTTAGGATCAGATGAGAAGGCACTTCCTTCAACATTGAGGCCATACTCAACCGTGCCTTTTCTCCCACATACCATTTCACGCCAGAATTCCTTTTCTATGGCAGCACAGGGAAGACAACCAGAACAACGAAACCGGCGAATAAATGCCTTGTTTGCCATACTCTCAAATTCGCGGTACGTATATTTTCTTAAAAATTCGATACGTAATTATATCAGCGTCAAGAAAGCATTGCATGAGTGTACTTACGAAATAGTACTACTAGTGAAACATCATTAATTTTACGTACCTTCCTCTCCTAAAGAAGGTGAGTTTGTCATTGACATCCCAAGCACTGAGCCAGAGAGGTTGGACAATAGTTTCAAACTTGAAGTCTTTCATCTCTTTCGACAGCACGAATCCGGCCGGAACACGAGCATTTATAGGAGACACTATCTTACAAATTCCTGAACCTCCGAACACTGTAGTCAATTTAGAGGGAGAAAAAAAAAAAAAAAAGACATACATATATATATATATCGAGCAAGATACGCTAATAACTAAGCAAAAATGATGATAATTCTATGGATCTCATCAAATCAAATGACATGACAATTAATTTCTTACTTTTCAATTTGTAAAAAGCAATTTTCTAAAAATAGATTCGTGTCACATAACTTTGAAAAATAAAAAATGACTATTCACTAATTGCCACCTTGTCACATATCTTTGTACAAGTATGTTGTATTTGAATCACAGATGCTATGTACAAGAAAAGGAAATTGTTTCTGCAGTTTTTTTTTTTTTTTAAGAAAAGAAAAGGGAGTCGTTGGAGGATGTGTGTGTAATGTGTGTGTGTATATATATATATATATATATATACGTGTACCATATTTGGAAGCTTGAGGGGCAATATTTTGCAGATAAAGAAATGGATCATCAAACTCCTCCTTGGACGGACGATATACAGGGCATTCAGAAATTTCATCCGTCCATTGCAAGTCCATATTGGGGTCAAACTTGTTGACTTTCCGCGACATTTATCTGTTAATTAAATACTGCAAATGATTAGAAAGATAATCATATATTATATCACTCGGCATGGTTATCCATAAAACAATACATGGTGAAAGTAGAGAAATTGACCTTGTTCATATGTAACTTCAAAATATTCGAGTCTCTCAACTAATATATTATTGTGGTATGAATATTATGCGGGTATACAATGTGAATTTTCGATATGAGTTGTGTGAGAGAGAGAGAATAAATGAATAAATAATAATCCAATATGGAATTATATATGTGTGTGTATATATATATACATATATAGGGCCAAGAAAGATGAAATTAAAAATCGGATCAAGAGAATTTGCTTTGTGGATTAAAGGAGATCAGAAGAATTACAGCACTTCGCAGGACTGGAAAGCGTAAACCGTTTTTTTTTTCCCCCTTTCTTTTTTTATGAAGTTTTTAAACTTTTTTGTTTCTCGGACAACCGTTGTTAGTTTCTTTTGAAGGCGTAAACCGTTGGTAGTTATTAGTTTTATTTGATAATCGTGCACTTTTTTTTTTTTTTTTGAGATGCGATAATAAATTTATAACTACCTTTTTTATTTTTGCAAAAATCATTAGAGCACAACTGCACAAGTGGTGCCAAAAAAAAAAAAAAAAAAAAAAAAAAGAGAGAAAAGAATAGGAAGATGAACTAAAAAAGTATCTAAAATAGATACAATCCATGGTGGAAAGAAATCAAACTAATACCTTTTTCTATCCAAGGAATAAGCAAGAATAAATCATGTGATGTTAAAAAATAACACATAAGATTTATCAAACTGCTTAGAAGAAAAAATAAGATATGATAAAGATCAAGGATTAATAAGTTGTTGGAAACATCAAACTAAACCTGAAAAAATTTAAGAATTATAAATAAGAAGCAAAAATCAATATCAATATTAAAAGGTGAGAAAGAATGACTTATCTGTAAAGTTAAAAATTCCAAGCAATTATATGAAAAGATTGATACCATAACAGAGACGTTGGATATGTATAATCCATTGAGGTGAATGCTGCTCGTTTGAGGGAAGAAGTAAAGGAAGGTTGTATAGACCTTCCCTACAAATCTCCATATCTCCTTATTTTAAATACCTAGAAAATGAAAAAAACTTAAAAGGAAAATATTAACCAGACTAAAATCTACAAACACCTATATTTAAATAATAGTTCAATTTAAGTAATAAAATTTGATATATATATATATCATAATTATACCCTATCACAAACATTTAGACTCAGATTAATAAAATCTGATATATAGTTCAATTATCAACTATTTTAGATCCAAAACAGCGCATAAGTAGAAAATTGGTGAATAGGAATACTTCATAATTCATCCAAACCATAAACCCTAGTTCCCTAGCAAGAATAGCATATCATGGATGCATAACTTAAAGTTGTTCTTTTCATAACTGAAGTCATAAATTACTTCGTATAAGATAAATTTTAAATCAATGACATGAATAAAATGGTATTAACTCTTCGATTGAAAATTTCCCTACTTTCTTCCTATAACTTGCCATTTTGGGACATATCTTATATCTAGAGTCTTGACAAAAGACAGATAATTTATCTATCTTCCGCAATATATTGTCGCTTTCGTCAGTGAAATTGTCGTTTTTAACACACTTTCGAATTTTGTCGTTTACAGAATTTCGAGGAGACAAATATCATAGTCGTAATAGTCTTTAAATCGTGGAATTATTGTACGTCCTCATTTAATAATGTCGTTTTTTCAAGTGATGCTGTCGTTTTTCACATACTTTGGATTTTTCATACTATTGTTGTCGTTCACATACTTTTGATTTGTCTGCTGAGCCGCATCACGGCTGAGATTTTGGGTGTTTCGATATGATGGAGGTGATCATGGGTATGGAGAGATGTAACTGGGTCTGGATATTGATTTGAATTTGGGTATGTAGAGGTTGTGTGTGGGTTGGCGGTGATGTGCCGATGGTGGTATCGAGAAGATGATGGAGGTGGTGAACAACGGATTTGGGTGTGGAGATTGGATTGATGACGGTGGTCGTTGGAATGGCAGTGGAGGTTTGATCGGTGGTGGTGAAGGGAAGAAAATGGTGACAATGGATGATGGGAAAACCCGTGAGATGGTGGTGGAGAACACGGTCGTTGGTGGGCACTCCACCTCCGAACGCCGCGGATCCGGTGACTCCAATCGCCGTTTATGGCTATCGTACCTCCTCGGGAAAGAAGTGCGGGCTCTGATACCAAATGACGCAGCGAAATGGAAGAAAACGAGATTTTACCCGTTCAACTATTCTTGAATCCACCTAAAAGAACCCTATAAGAAAAAAATCCTCACATTAGAGAGAAAATACTTAAATTTTTTATTCAATATTAATTATCAAGTCCTCGTAGTTATTTATACCTCACATAGAAAATGATAACAAAATAACAATTAAAATGAATCCATCTAAAAGAACCCCATAAGGAGAAAATCCCCACATTAGAGAGAAAATACTCAAATTTTATATTTAATATCAATTATCAAGTCTCATAATATAATAGTTAAGTAGTTATTTATAACTCATATAGAAAACGATAACAAAATAACAACTAAAATAAACGACTACTAATAATAAACCAAAACTAAATTAGAAAGTTAGAACAAAATCACAAACGTACGATAAAATGACTACTAATAACTAAATCTCCCTGCATCATGGATGATGATGGTGATGGACGCATTGATTTCTGCGAGTTTGTCGAGCCATTACCTCTACCGCTTTCCATAATTCTTGGAGATGATGATTTTTAATTTGATGTAGTATTTTTAAAGTGTTAATTTAGTTGGGATGCGTATGTAACGTTTTATTTTTAAGAGAGAAATTTGTGCCTCCGCTACTTTAAAATTGTTGATTTGTTTGAATAATGTAAATTTCTATCCATTTTTTTCTCAGCAATATTGTCTAAAAACCAGCTATTAATTAAATTCTAATCAATACAATAAATAAAAATTAACCAGATAGGACTAGCTAATTAGTATGTAATTGATGTCTGTGTGATGGAACATTTTTAGTAACATATACAAATGCATATGCATGTGGTGGCAATATCGTTACCATCATTCAAGTTGATTAGCGCGCGATCTCAAGTACAATTTCTTATCAACATACAATCATGATTAATTTGATTGGATTAATTCAGCAAAAAAAAAAAAAAAAAAAAAAAAAAAAAAAAAAAAAAAAAAACAATGATTCGATTAACTATTCAGTTAAATTACTTCAAGAGTGTTAAGTGACATCTCGATGAGGTGGCTTGATTCCAGGCAATGATAGCTCTATAATTGTTACCATGGACAATTAATCATATTCTCTAGATGTATAATTATGATACAAATGCTAATGGTATTGACCTGTTTATCTATTTTATTTAAGCTAAAAGGTCAATTTTGATCCTTCCAAGTTTCAAGGAAAAAAAGGTTCCATGTTGATATCCCACGGGAAAATATGATAGTATAAAGGTGCTATTAAAATAGATTTGTCTCCTAATGTTTTGGATTAAGTCAATGCATTGTTCATTAAGTTTCATTTCGAAACTAAACATAAACAAGCAGCCAGGAAGAACAAAACAATATATTACTACTGGTTTATACATATATATATATATATATCTCAGCTATATGCTGGACTTTGAATCATGTAAATTTTTTTTAATTTTTTTTATACACATTAAAAGTTGTTTGGACGGCTCAAACTGTTGAACAGAAGTATATTATGCCTTCCCACTAATATGATCAGTACTGGCTATTCCTTAACTGGCAGCATTAATAGAATATATATGCAGGAAAAGTCTATCATACAGGAAGAAAGAAAGAAAGAAATATATATATTGTACAAGGTTCAAAATTGATGATCAGGCCTTGTGTATATATAAGTAACATGCATGTCATGTAAAGTGATCATATGTCGAAAGCCCCAAGTATATATGATCAAAGAGTAACGATGACAATTGCCAAGGCAAAGACTCCCCCCCGACATTTAACGTCTACTTTGACAACAATTTCTGGACAAGGGTTAACATGTCGAGCTACGCCGATATATATGTCGGTTTTGAGGTGATCTACACTGCCAAGGCAAATACTACAAGCATATGTCTTGTTCGATCCCGGCCTGGTCAGATTCCCTTCATAACCACACTCGAACTACGCAGCTTAGATGCAAACATGTACAGCCATGTTGATTCTAACAGCGCTCTGTTCATGGAACAACGGCATTCGCAGGGAACAAACAAAAATGTTAGGTAAAAAATCCGGCCTACAGATATTATACAGCTTTAAACCGTTAGATTTTTATCGAATGCTTTTATTATTATTGTTATTGTTGTTGTTATATGATTCTAACGCGATCTAATAGCTAATTATAACTAGACAATACCTAGTTGGGTACTCAACCACATAATCCCTTATATATTGCATCAAACACATGAATTTCCATTTCAAATGTGTTTTGGATGTTGTAAACACGATAGGTACCCCGATGATGCTTACGACCGGATATGGTATCCTGCGTACATTCTAGGATCGATTGACGTAGAAAATGAAGCAACTACGATCGATACTAGTACCGCAGAAGATAATCCACCAGTAGCTGTGTTGCGAAATGCCAATACTTTGAATACCAGTACTCCTCTCAGTAACACAAGTATTCAAGAGTACATCTTGTTATCAACCAGATTACCAGCATTCAAAGTTCCGATTTACATGAACCTGTACTTCTCCGAAGTGACGTCGCTGCTGTCGACGCAGAAAAGATCCTTTCAGCTCTACGTCGATGGCAAGCCTTATTCAAAAGCCATCATTCCTCCATTCGGGAGTGTGAATGAGGTTTCTGTCACAAACATAACGGCTTCTTCCATTACTTCGTTCGAGCTGCGTCCCACGCCTGACTCCACGCTTCCTCCTCTCATCAATGCCAACGAGGTTTTTAGCATTGGCGACTCATTTTCAGTCACAACCGACGGCAAAGATGGTAATTTTACTATTTTTTTTGTTCTCTTTTGTGTACACTAATTTTTGTGCCATAATTGAAATGAAGAAAAGATTAGAAGAAGAAATCTGACGAAATCGTCTGTACTAATTTAGTGGAAGGATTAGCCATACTGCAAATGCAATTCGAAGTGTTACAGAAATGGAGTGGCGATCCATGTCTTCCATTGAACTATACGTGGGAATGGGTTGAATGTAGCTCCGACACTATTCCGCGTGTAACAGCACTGTAAGTTGCATTTTCGCCTAAATATATCGATACAAAAAAACCAGTATTGTGTGTTTTTAAATGTCAGATTACATTAAAATCATATCTTAACTAAAACAATGTAAATCTAATACAATCTAAAAAGGATTTGACAGTAAAAAAATAAAGCACTGCTAATAGAATTTTTATTTTTATTTTATTTTTGATATTCTACTAAGAACTTCTCATAATTTATTTCCTCTGCCTGTGAACTATAACAGCAATCTGAGTAGCTTTGGTCTATTTGGTGAACTTCCAGATTTTAGTTCCATGGATGCGCTTATCACCATGTAAGTTTCTAAATTAAACTTAAAAAAAAAAAGATGGATAAATTAAAGCTTGTAATTTGAATATAGAACCTTGTTTCATATATTACTTATTCTGTTATTTGCATTTGTCCTCAGAGACTTGCACAGCAACAGCATAAATGGGCCTATTCCTGAATTTCTTGGCTCCTTTCCAGAATTAAAGTTTCTGTGAGTTAATACTCAACACAATATTATATCTTTAAATATTTAGGCAACAGAAACAAAGAAGACTTTTGAGAAATATTAACCTGAAAACTTTTCTTTTTCCTGCAGGGATTTGTCGGACAATAGATTCAATGGAACAATACCAACTTCCCTATCCAAAAACAAGAAGTTGAAGTTGGTGTAAGTTCAACAAAACTATTATCATACCCTTTAATTTATTTTTGCTCGAGAATTCTGTGACAAGGTATTGCGCAATTGAAGATCAATTAGATCATATTAGAATTGCATTAGAACTAAAAAAGGATGTAAATTTAGCAAACTTGATGACGGTTTCAAACTGCATACTAAATAATTTCTCTTTCGGTGTGTCCCGCATAGAATTTTGCCTTTTGTTTTTAGGTAGTAAATTTTATTTCTACTTATGGTGTGATGGATGGTCACAGGGTGACCGATAATTGTCTAGATGGAATGTCTTGTGCTCCCGCTCCCCCTCCTCCTGAGGATTCGCCGGCAGCCCCACCACAACAACAGCGAACACCGTCTCCCTCCGAATCAGATGACAATAATCCTCCTCCCCCGCCATCGACTGCCGACTCTAGAATGGGTGGTAATAACACACCCTTTCTCAATGCCAGTAAGAGGAGTGCGGAGCTAGTACTACCCCTGGTATTGGGAGGCATAATTCAAGTCTTCTTATTCGGTTTCTTGTTCAGCTACTTTGTTTAAACCACGTTTTTTCACATACAATGTGTATGCAAGCGTGACTTTGTATTGTGAATATGCATTTTGTAACCATGATCCTTTCCTATTGTTGACGAATAAGTGAAATTCATTAATCCGCAGTTTGCCTCTTATTAAGTATCTAAAGGTAAGAAGAACAATATAGTTGCTGACTTAGTCTAACAATAATTAAGTTAATCCCACATTGACCTTCATAAGAATAATTAAAGGTTCTACTACATAATTGATCTAATTAACCAGATGATAATTTCATCTAGAACGAAATCTTTTGGATTATCAGCTAACAAATTTCATCTTTATAAGCTTCTAGTACTGGTGACCACTTTGCCTAGCCTTTATTGAGCATTGTCTATATACATTCATAAACAAAAAGTGACAAACTTACATTGTGCTTAAATAAAACTTCAATTTTCAACTGCAAAAGCACTAAAAGTGAAAGATTTGTAACTTTCCCTTAAATATGTAATGTTGACCTAACCGTATTAGCGATATACAAACTTAAGTATACTTATCAAATAATTAGAGGGTCAAGCCTTGATGCTGTGATATCTTAATTTGGAGATTAGGACTGGTGGGTCTGATGATCAGTCTGATCAACATCATCACCTCCAACTATAGTTTAATGATCTTGTTGTGTTGAGACCTTTTCCTTAGTCTTCTGGCCCACCTCACCAGCCGCCTTGGCAACCCTGCTAAAAGCACCGGTTACCCAAGATGCCCCAGTTAGCACGTAGCGGTTTTTCATGATTGCTGATCCAGCATTTGTCACGGTCTGCTCGGCGGCTGAAAAGGCAGACTTCGTCTTCTCGGAGACCTGAAACTTCTCATCCATTTCCCTCACCTTGCCATTCACAATGCTTGTGCCGGCGCTGATTTTCTCACTCAGTCCAATCTTTTGATCCAGAGAAGCCACTTTCGCCGTGGCACTGGAACTTAGCTGGTGCTTCTCATCAAATGACTTGGCCTTCTTCAGTGCGTCCTTGCCCAAAGTGAAGCCCTTGGCGAGCATGCTGCTGACCATGTCCTCCGCCCTTTTGACAGCAGATTCGGAACCACCTTGTGCTGTTCCCTCTGCTCCCTAAGGATATTGGAGAATGGAAAAATTACATAATCCTTCCTTAAATCCAAGTGAAATTCGATGTTCAATTCAGCTTTTGTATTCTTCAGAATTATAAAAATCTCTTTTTTGATTAAGTCAGTCCTTTCAAAATATCCCTTCCTTCTAATCTTTATATCTTGATAAATCTTTTTCTTCACAACTATTCCTAATCTTATTTGAAGACAATCCTCAGATCTATATTGCAATAAGGGGGAAAATTTTAAGGGATTCACATTTGAATCTAGGGGATTGAAAAAAAAAAAACAAAAAAACGATGACTTAGAACTGAGAAGAGATATAATATTATTACTGTTGGAAGTGTGGAATTGTCAGCAGATGGCAGCTTGTAGTCTTGAGCAAGAGCAACCGTAACTTGCTGATCAACTATTGTTGCTCCCTACAAAAGATGCAAAGATTTAATGTTTTGTCATGAATTATCAAAATTTTAAGGCTTTCATGTTTAAAACAATGAAGAAGAGATTATGCACTAAGATGATTCTTTCTTTTACCAATTTCATATTCATCGAAGATTTCGGCAAAAACTACTGTCGTGAACTTTGAAATACATCAAAGAGCAATGATACATATAACCATCAAAACAGAGGTGTCAAAATCCTAACTAAGTACATGTGAAAAATTTTCTTTTGGATTCATATTCATCGTGATGAGTATTATTATAGTAAATCAAAAAGGCAAAAGAGAAGTGAGTCACCGAAAGAAGAAGTGCAGTTTCTGTTCCCTTGGGATCCTTGAAGGTGACAAATGCAGTTTGTGATCTCTCATTCTCACTGAAAACGAAAAACAAAAAAAGAAATAGTCCATTTCTGAAATACCTTGTTAAGCCACCAAGAAATTTACAAAGAAAAAAAAATTAAAAAAATTAAAGATATTAAAGAAATTAAACCTTTGTAGTTGAACATGTTCAACTTCACCAGAGAAGGAAAAGAACTCCTTTATGTCTTGTTCTGTTGAACCTAAGGACACATTACTGACTTCAACTGTTTTTGTCTGTAAATGCCAAAATCAATTTCCAACCAACTAAATTAAAATGAACCATTGGGTTTAATTAATTCAATACTACAGAATCATAATACTGAAGAATATAGATATAATATGCACCAGTTAAATATTGAAGATATTTGTAACCGCAAAATCACTATAGAAAGCAATATCAAAAGCATCTTTCAGGAATTGATCATCATAGAAATAAAGCCCCAAAGAACTTGGAACGAGAAAAGAAGGAAACAATATTATGATAATAATATGGGGTAAATTTTTTTTTTTTTAAAAAAACGAAGATGTTCATATCTATATTTATATAATAATCAGAAGCAAAGTAAGAGGACAAACAAATATGAATATATAGATTAAAAAGGCAAAGAACTGAAATTTCTAAAAACATATTCAATTCCATAACTCTGTAAAGTAATAAACAAGAAAAAACAAAGATTTAAGCTTTACTCACCGCCATGAAGTTTGTGGTTTTTCAGACTCAAAGAGAAGAAGTGTATTGTTTTGACGGTTGAAAAGAAGATTAGCATGTGTGAGTGGAGTCGATTATGGATCTCTCCACTTTGACCGTTATTTATTTATTTATTTTAAAAGACTGCGTCAACACTGTGTGGGACACGTGGAGATGGAGACACGATTATGAAAGGTGTCACGGTTACTAGGACACATGGAGTTCCTCGTATTCAACAAATGATTTTCTTTTTTTCTCACAAAAAATGAAAATTAGAAAAACTATGTAAAGAATAATTAATGACTAAAATAATATTAAAAATGGTTTAAAATTTTGTCCTCAACTTTATTTAGTTTTAAAATTTTAAAATAATTAATGCCTGTGAATGATATTCACATAATAATTATGAAGGACGTTTTTGGCATTTTAAAAACTTTGAATAGGTAAAGAGTTTTTTTATTTAAGTTTTTAGAGAAAAACGTAAGAGATAATTTTATGATTGTTTAAAAATAAGAGAAATAACTTTTTATTACCAAAAAAAAAAAAAAAAAACATAAGGGGGGATGTGAAATTTGACTAAAATGTAGGAGATGTTTTTTAAATTTTTTGCAAACAAAATAAGAGAATGATTTGTTTAAGCCCCGTTCATTTTATCGATTTGAGTTTTCAATTTCAATTTTGCTACAGTTAAAAGCTCTCACAAAAAGTCACATTTAATTTTTTTTACTACAGTTAAAAGCTCTTAAAAAATGTCACATCTCAGCTCGAATTAAAAACTTGAATCCGCGAAGCGAACGAGACCTTAAGTTCTCAACTCGAATGAGCGAAACAAACGGGAGTTTAAACTTTGAAACAAGACGGTACCTTTTCTATTGATGAGAATGCAATATCTATACATAAGTATAGAGAATCTTTATCTAATTCAAAATCCAATTCAAATAATTTAAACTAACAACTTATCCCCTAATCATTAATAATTTAAATAACAACTGATCTAATCTCTCGATACTAGGGATACATTAAACACAAAATATTTAAATTTAAATAAATCAATCATCCTCATTGTTGTTATTGTAAATTGTCATATAATATATTGAGGTTCTTAAATATATTATTAGACATGGTTAAAATTACATCAAAATTAAAAAAGCATATAAAATAAAAAGTCTCTATTTTCTAATATAAATCGGACAATAAAAAATAAAAACCTAATAATAATTGTTTTAGGGTAAAATTTTTCAATATATCTTGAGAGTTTCTTTGATAAGTCGGATTGTATTAGAAACTGATACATTTTATATATTTTTTTAATTTAATATGATTTTAATAAAATCTAACGGTTAACGGTTAGCCATTTATCTCATCTCATCAGTAGGGCCGTACAAGAGAATCCCCACGTATTCTTAAGGATTCTGTTCATTTCACACATTTGAATTTAAAATTCGTATTTTATTACTGTAAAAAGTTTACAAAAATAATCATATTTAACTTTTTTATAATAAAATTTTTTTATATAAAATCATATTTTAACGTAATTAAAAATTTAAATTAACGAACTAAACAGACTTAAAAAAATACATTAATTATGGCGCCCGTGGATGATGAGATGGATGGGTGAGGACGGGTATGGGGGCACCAACTAAGCAACTAATAAGTACCTAACACACAACATGCTTAACTTTGACTTTTGTGGTGGCCGCAGGCTGACACACACGACAACAAGTTGTCAAGTACAGCCTAAGCCATCGAAAAGCCCCATCACCCAAACAAGTTAGAAAAGAAACAAAAGAGAGAACTCCCAAACACGAGACGAAACTTCCTCCAAATCCAAACCCAAACCCAGATCACAAGCTTCGTACTTGTAATTCCATAAGGCAGAAGCCAAAAAAAAAAAAAAATAGCAAAAACACCCAAAAGGCGAAGAAAGCAAAGCAAAAAGAATGAGCTTTCAAGATGTTGAAGCCGGAAATTGGTCATCGCAAAAATCGCAGAGACAATTCGGCAAAGACACAATTATATCTTTTTCTTCTTCTTCAGAGTCTTCTTTGGCTTCTTCCATTTTCCAAATCAACACCGCAGTCTCCTCCTTCTACCGCCTCGTCAATTCCCTTGGCACCCCCAAAGATACTCTCCAACTTCGTGACAATTTGTAACTTTTTTTTTCTTTCTTTCTTTTTAATTCATTTACCATCTGGGTTTTATTCTTTTTTGTCTTTAATTATGTTAAGTGATTGTTGCATTGTGTTATGGATGTATTCTTGCCCTCTTTATCTCATTGATTTTACCCAGTTGACTGAAATTATGCTAATCATGTTCCCTGGTTTTTTATTTTTATTTTTACTTTTTTTGTCATTAATGATGAGTTTTGTCATTGATTGTTCATTGCTGCTAGTGCTTGATGCCTTTGTAGATCCCTCAGAATGACAAATTCCATAACTTCATTGGGCCATTTGATCGTATGGAAAATATATATAGATATGCGCTTTGTTTATGTGGAAATTTGTTGTCTTTGCCTGGTCCCCATGTTTAGTAGTCTCTTGTCTTAAATTGTAAGAGAATTCTTTGATAGGCGTTGAAAAAAAAAAAAAAAGCCATGTAAAAAAAGTGAATTTGATGAATGTATATTGAGAGTTTTTTCTTTTTAATTTTGGTTACATTACTAGAGAATTCTCCAATAAAAAAAGGGTAAGCCTTTATGTGGAAGAATCATTCTCAAATGCCTTGGTCCTTTAGAGTCTTAAATTTAGTTGATTTTTAATAACAGGCACAAGACAAGGCTTCGAATTGGACAGTTGGTGAAGGATACTTCATCTAAACTCAGGCAGGCTAGTGAGATTGATCATCATGCGGAGATTAGTGTAAGTGCATTTGCCATTGTTTTAAACCCATCATGATACAAAACATGTTTGTTTCACCTCCTTGTCGTTTTTTTTTTTCTGATTGTTTCTTTCACTTCCATATTCTTCACCGCCTTGTCGGTTTTGTGCTGTTTGAGAGCTGGATTTGTAGCGTTCCGTACATGTTTGTGTAACATCTCTGAAATATGTCAACCTAAAGCCTTCATATTCCTCTCCTTTTAAGGCTCGGTTTGCGATTGTTGTGCTTTTAAGAGAATGCGACTTTTTCTTATAGCAAATTTAGGAGCTAAAGCCTAAGATAAAATCTAAAAGGTCCAACTTTTTAAGATAACTTGAAAACTGAATTAGTGCCAATGCAAAAGTGCTTTTGTGCACTTTTACCAAACACTCCACTTTTGTGCAAAGTGCTTTTAGGGATTCCAGAAGTAATTTAAAATTAAACCTAAGTTGTACTGCCCAAATGCAGTAAAAAAAATGTGGTTATAGAATTTCGTTTATTCTCCTAGATAATACTCATAATTAGATGCCTGGGGATTTTCTTTTGAATTATTTGGTTTATGTTTGTTTTGGTGAAGCACGAGGTATTGAATTGTAAACAGTTTTTTGGTGTTGAAATAGACTGCAAAGAAGATCGCCGATGCTAAGCTCGCAAAGGATTTCCAACAAGTTCTTAAAGAGTTTCAGAAGGCTCAAAGGATTGCGGCAGAAAGGGAAACGACATATGCTCCTTATGTTCTGAAAGAAGTTCTGCCATCCAGGTGAATATTATGACAATTTGTCCTTCCCCAATCCGATTCTAGTTTCAATATTGACGAGCCTTAAATTAACTTGACATGTTCACTAGATAAATTCCCTGACTTGTTTGTTTTTAAAGTTCTTATTTTATTCCCATAATCAAATGTTGTGCAGTTATTCAGCGCGCGAACAAGAGATTAGTTCGTCCAGAGGCCATGAAGAGCGAACTCTTCTTCTTGAATCCAAAAGGTAAGTGAAGATAACCATACGTCTCATTGTTACTGCAAATGTACATTCACGAAATGGTAGTGTTGAAGTAAAAGATTAAACTGATGATTGTACTGATCCACTTCATGGTTATTATTAAATAACAGATAGATGGCACTGGCTCTCAAATTCAATTAGCTCCATTGCTTCATCTGTTATTGTCGTAGGGCCTTCACTTTTGTCACCGATCATATTGATTGTCTAGCTAAATAGCAATTAAACTTTTTCAGATTTTCGTATAGTCATGGTTTAATTAGGGAAATTTTAGGGAAAGATTTTGCTTCAAACATAGGCATTAAAAAGAGTAAAATTCAGGAAAAGGAGCTGGCTGTATGGTAAATATTCTGAAGTGTTGGAGACTTTCCTTTTTTCCCATTTTCTTGTTGCTTGTGCATGTAGGATTTGCATTATTCCTTTACCACGATGGAATTTGATTCTAGTCCGTCTTTACAGTAGACGCTTACTGCAGAATTTGTTATGTGCAGAGAAGAGGTTTTACTATTGGATAATGAGATCGTTTTCAACGAAGCCATTATTGAAGAAAGGGAACAAGGGATCCAAGAAATTCAGCAACAAATCGGTGAGGTTAACGAGATTTTCAAAGATCTAGCTGTTCTGGTACATGATCAAGGAGTTATAATTGGTAAGTGGTCACTTCTGTGAATTCCGCCCTTATTTTCATGTTTGAACATTTTTTGCCCTAGTTTCCTTGAGGAAATATACATGTCTATACCTACTTTTCACAATGTTTAAAACGTGATGTTTTTCAGATGACATCGGTTCCCATATTGCGAACTCTCATGCTGCGACTGCACAAGCCACTACGCAACTCTCGAAAGCTTCCAAGCTCCAGAAATCTAGTTCATCTCTGGTAAATTTTGGATTGATACGTTTCGTTTCACAAATTTGCTCACAATTTGTAACTAGTGATGGAGTTGGGTCGGGGTCGGGGGGGGTAGGGCTGCTACTTGACCCTGTCCACACCCCTCCCCAGTCCCTGCGAGAGTACTAATGCCATCCCCATGCTTATGGTTGATGCTTTTCAATAAAGTGGATGACAAATATATATTAACATACTAAATTGTTTTGGCAGACATGTTTGCTGTTGCTGATTTTCGGGATAATCCTGCTCATTGTGATTATAATCGTGGTAGCTTGAGCGGCGAATTTGAGATGAGATTAGATGAGATGAGATGAAGGGCATACCCATATAGATATATATATATATATATATATATATATATATATATATCTGTATATGGTTTTTGTTGGTGGAAAGCTTTTACAAGAGCAGAGCTCCACTGTTATATTATGTGCCTCAGACTTGAGCAGGGCCTGGTCACACGTCAAAAGTTCCTTGAACACCTTGCTCCCCACAAGGCTGTTAGTGTTATAAATTGTAATTAAATTATATACTAGTTCTAAAGATCCTGTTGCAACAAGATAACCAAGGCTCTCATGTTCACTAGTAACTACTTTGGATCTCCTATTTTTTCATATATTCAATAAATTGTTGAGGAGGATTTAGTATCATTATAATTCAGGTCGTAAAAGGTTTTTCTTTACAGAGATGAGATGTGGAGGACCAAATCCTTTGAGGAGTGCAGTCTTGGCCATATATTAACATATGCTTATTAGTATGATGATTTGGGTCTTTGTAATAATAATGATGATGATGATGATGATGATGATGATGATGATTATAATAATAAGTCTTGGGTCTTTGTATTGCATCATGCCCTCCTGGTGATGGTTTCAAAAGTTGGGAAGCTAAATTCTTTTTTAATGAATGTGTTGTTTATCACTATAATCCAATCTTGTGGATTAACTAACGGCACGTTTTTTTTTTTTTTTTTTTTTTAAAGATAAATAAAATTCAAATTTGAATTGGATTTATAAGTTACGTTACCCTCTATTTTTAAGCTAAAGCCTAGAATGTTTCATTTCAATATTATACTTTCTACATATTTATGATTATCATTATTTTTTAATTTCATTTTATTTCTAAAATAGTTACGACGTTGTATGATGATCTAAAATAGTGCAATACTTCATTTCTTTTGTTTTCAAAAATTTTTAAAAACTTCTAAAAAAAATTTCATAACAGATTAAAAAAACAAAAAAATAAAAACAAACCCTCCGAACACATTTCCAAATCATATTTTCCTCTTTTTTTTTTTTTGTTTAAACAAAGAAAAAACCATTTAATTAAGTGGTACCGAACGTACCCTAATATTTCAAAAAAAAAAATAGTGCAATACTAAAATATTTCATATCTAAACTAAAATCTTGTCATGAAAAAGTATTTGTATTTGACTCGAGCAGCATACTAGTTAGTTCATCTTTCTAGTTTCAATCCATCTTATTAAAAGTTCAAAAATAATAAAAAGAAAACTATGAATAAATGCTCAAAATTAAAAGGGTATTTTGGTCAAAGCAAGTCGATTTCTTTTTTAGTTGTTATTTTATTCCGTTGTGGATTCAAAGTTGGGCACGAAAAAAAAAAAAAAAAAAAAAAAAGAAGAAGAAGAATTGTATGCCCTTGGCCTTAAACATTGCCGAGTCTTTGGTCTTCTATTTCCTGTTCCTTTTCCTGCCCTGGAGAGAAGAAGAAAGAGAAGAAGAAAGAGAAGAGGAGAGAAGGAAGAAATAAACGCTGATTGAATCAAGATTCCATTTTTATATTGCCAATCCAATCCATCCCCACTAAGGTACGTAATCCTTTCTAGCAATCCCGCATTTTCATTTTCATTTTCTTTCTCTCCAAACAACAAAGTGACCTTCTGATTCAATCGAGATCTCGCCTGGGTTTCCATCCTTTTTTTCATCGATTGTGGCATTTAATGGATTAAATTATGCTCCTTCAGATTCCGTCATGTGAATTTCTCTTACAGATAGGTTTTATGTTTTCTCTTGTTTGTTTTAATTGATGTTATCGCAAATAAACTTCCTTCTCTTGTTATTTACTGGAAAAAAATTTTAGCTAGTTCAGTGTGTTATTCTGTTTAATGGTTATTGATTTTTTTATAATTGTTGTAAATTATGTTAGTTAAGCTTCATACTTGATTAAGGTTCAAATTCAGGTTTCTATATACGAGGCTGCTTACGATTCTTTTCATCTAACTTTAATTTAGTTCCTTTATGTACTACTTACTTACCGTCCCAAAGCCTAAAATAGACAAGACTGGCCAATGATGTCGAATTGTGAAAGATCCCAATCTTTCTAGTGATATGATGTGCAGGACGAACTTCGTTATAAGTCGTCCAAGTTGCCAATAAATAGCTTCCTTTACCCAAGTGAGAAACCCATGTGTGTTTCACCGCGTGCACTCGTTCGGTGTGTGAGTTCTTTCGTGTTTCGAATTCCTCGTTTTGTTAAAGAGACTGAAAGGTTCGAGGTGGGGGGTGGGGGAGGGAAGGAGAAGAGAATAGGGAAGAATATAGGAGTTATTACACAGCTTTTTCTTTGTTTTTGTTTACAAAATACAAGCTATTGAATGATGTTTTGTAGGGAGCATCTCTGTTTTAATTTCTTTGTATGCAGATGTCAGGTTAATACAAATTTTATCTTCTTTCTTTGATTCTGTGATTTGTGTTCTGAAGGTACTTTTTCTTTTCTTTTCTTTTTTCAGCTTTCAGTGACTCATGCATGGCCTTTCCTGAGTGATGTGGCATAAATGGAAGGAAAAGTTCTCGCAAAAGTTGTCCGACTATATCAAACCTTTGCTGGGGATTGATTGACTTACTTGTCTTCATTGGTGAACATGAGACCTTCGCCTCGTCCAATTATATGCTATAGGCCTTTACGACCATCCGACCTTGAGATTTTAGAAAAAATTCATGGTGATTTATTTCCAATTAGGTAAGTAAACCTCTTTGATGCTTTCCCATGTGTATGGCCTTCAATACGTGTAATTGCTCTAAATTGTTATAATTTCTTTAGGTATGAGTCTGAGTTTTTCAAGAACGTAGTCAATGGCTGTGATATTGTATCCTGGGCAGCCGTTGATCGCAGTCAACCAAGTGACCAAGGTGATGAACTTGTTGGGTTTGTAACCGCGCGAGTCGTTCTTGCAAAAGAAAGTGAGGTAGGGCCTTTAAATTGTTCTTGTAGATGCCCTTGGTTTAGTTAAAATAAAAAATAAACAGTTTATTTATTGTACGTCTGCTCAGATTAATTTAGTCCTTGAGAAGACATGTTGGTCTAAAATTCTTGATCTAGGGGTCCCTATATATGTATATTATTGTGATAGAAAGAAATATTGTCAATGCCTATTGTTCCAGTTTTGTGGTGTTTTCAGATCCTACTCACCCGGTAAAAATTGGCTTTGTAGATTGGGGATATGCTTAGTTATGACTCGTCAAGATCAGATCAAACGTTGGTCTACATTTTAACATTGGGAGTTGTAGAAACCTACAGAAATCTCGGCATAGGTAGACGTTTGTCTCTCGCATTCTTTCCGGCTGTGTTTGATTGTGTTCCCATATTAACTTTTTGAATGGTGGGTATTGCAGCTTCTTCACTGATCCGTGAGGTCATAAAATACGCCTCAAGTATCCCGACCTGCCGCGCCGCCTACTTGCATGTCATTTCTTACAATAATCCTGCTATCCGTTTGTACAGCAAAATGTCATTTAAGTGTGTGCGGAGACTTCAAGGTTTCTACTTGATCAATGGTCAGCACTACGATTCGTATCTGTTTATTTATTATGTAAATGGTTGTCGACCTCCCTGCTCACCACTGTAAGTGCCAAACAACCTTTTTTTCTTGCCTTGCTATGTTGGAATCTTAAAGACAGTTGAATGTTCTTGTTTGTTCTGTATTTAGAACTATCATTAGAACTAGAATTGTCAAGTTTGTGTTGAAAATTATTTATCATACGTTTTTTCATTGCAGAGAGCTTGTCACTGCTGTGCTGAGATACATGAGGAATGCTTTCAAGTCGATGTCAGCACGACTGCGGAGGAACGAGGATAGGAAGGTCCTGAAATGGGCGAAATGTAGAGAAGCCCGCAGTCTTATATCGACAAATCAAAGCAGGAGAAACATGGCAGCTGAGTGTACAGGTTGTGAGTGTGTTTGATTGTTAATTTTATTGGAAGACAAGGAACAAAAGAAAAGGCTCGTAGGTTATATAAAGTGTTGTAAAATCCCTTATCTTAGCGTTCCTTTTAGCCTTTGAAATAATGTCTCAACTAATAAAAAGTCTGATTTTGACTATAAAGTATTAGAGTTATATTCATACATATTTGTCAATTTAGATTCTGCATGATCAAAAGATTTTTTTTCCCCGAATAGCATAATCAATGCATTTAGATTTTATATTGAATTCTATAATGCAAGTAATGCGGGCTCTCTCCATCAAGGGGCAACTGTCTAAAGGCCATTAACTAATTACCTTTACACAAGGTTCCCTTGTTAGAAAACCTTAACTAATTACTTTTAACGCCTCAAAATGTCGAACAATTTCATTAGCTTTGTTTTCTTAAAAAAAAAAAAATCCGTTTCTTAAGTTTTCGTTTAATTCTGTTCAATTATTTAGAATAACCCATGAGTGTAAAGTACAAATGAGATATGATTCTCCCATAAATTATCATCATATCAAGTTTCTTAATTATTTTTCTGGATTTTTTTTTTTTTTTTTGGGACTTGAGATTAATATGCATGTATTATCCCCTAAGAATGACAAAATTTTGTTAAGGATGTTGTCACTAATCCGTATAATCTGGTGGCCTAAACTTGCAAAGGCAAACATGAACCAATCGTAAGAGGTATGTTATGGCATCCAATATTAGAGCATCCCCCTGTTTTAATGGCACACCGGCAATGCATCTCTTTATTTATTTATTTATATATGGCTGGCAAAGGCACCAGACCACCACACATGGAAATTAGAACAAGTTTTTTTATTCTTCTTTTGAGATCACAAAACTAATGGCGTCTTCTCTCCCAAGTCGCCCTCTTGCTTTAGTGTTCTCACTTTTGTTCCTCATAATTGCCCAATTTTATCATCTGGGATTAGCACATAGCCATGGCTTCCCATCCCTTGCCCCTCAATTGACTTACCATGGAGGACCCCTCCTCACAGGAAATCTAGACATTTCCATCCTCTACTATGGTCGGATCAGCCGCGTCCAAAAGAATGCCATCCGCAGCTTCCTCAAGTCTCTTAACAGCGTGCGCGCCGGTCACGGTGGCGGCATCAAGCCAATGGTGTCGTCGTGGTGGAACGTGGTGGAGAGTTACCAGTCGTTTGTTGGCGGCCGTGGGAGGAGGAGGAACCCCCCGAGAATCAACGTGAAGGTGGTGCGCGTGGTGACAGACACATCCTATTCAGTGGGGAAGATAATGACAACGGACTTCACAAGGATTCTAGTGGAGAAAGCAACGGCGAGGAGATCAGGAAAGACGTTGGCAATGATAGTGACAGACAGGCAAGTGACAGTGCAGGAGATGTGCACGGGAAAATGCGTTCAACACGGGGCGTTTGGAAGGCAGGCTTATGTGATAGTTGGGAACCCGGAGACAAAGTGCCCTGGGGCATGCGCATGGCGATTCCACCGCGAAGAGGAAGGCCCACAAGGGGTTGTTTTGCAACCTCCGAGTGGGAATGTGGGGGCTGATGCTATGATAGTCTTGTTGGCTTCAGGGCTGGCGGATGCAGTGACCAACCCCTTCAACAATGCCTTCTTTACGTTCGGAAGTGGTCCAAACGTGGGGCCGGTTGGGGCCGGAACTGCGTGTTGGGGCATGTTTGGGAGTGGGGCGTTTCCGGGTTACACGGGGAAGATACGGGTGGACCCGAAGAGTGGTGGGGCCTTCAACACCCACGGTGTTAGGGGGAACAAGTTCTTGTTACCTGCGCTTTGGAACCCTGCTTCCTCCTCTTGTTGGACTCCTGTCTAACAACAATGTTACTAATTCGACATCCGTGTAGAGCGAGTAAAAATTGTATGTTAATTTTGGGTACCAAATTAATCTTTGTTAATAATACCATTTACCAATTATATTCTAATAAGTCAATTTGCCACATCATTTGGTATCCAATATTTGATATGACATTTTTTTTTTGATAAAGCAGTATTTGATACAACTTGATGTGTATGAATGTAGATTCATTTACCCAACACTTCTAGTCGTGACTAGGGCTTAGTTTGATAGTGCTGTAGATTTTTAAAAAATTATTTTTCGTTGTGCTGAAGGAAAAAACAGCTGTTACAAAAAGCAGCTGAGTGTTTGGTAAACTATAATTATAGTAGCTGTGCTGGTTTTTAAATAAATGTAATGGCGTTTGGTAAATTATGAAGTGGAATTATTGTAGATAGTTAAAAATTACGGCTATATTATATTATACTATAATATAATATATACTGTATTATAAAATATATTATAATTATATTATAACTATAATATCATATTATTCAAATAATTATTAAATTATTATAATATAATATTATATGATAATATAATAATGTTAGAGTTATTAATATAATTATGATATTATTTGTTACAATATTACTATTATATTATAGTATATTATATTACGAGTCTGAATTTTAGATTGAGAAGATTGTAAATTTTAAATTTCATTAGGGGTATTATAGGTATTATGAAAGTTTCATTAATTGTACTATGCTGATTCTCGCACAATCTAAAAGCTAAAGTTGTCTTTAAGCTGCTTCTAATTTTGGTTGTAGATTGTTAAAAAATTCTTTAGAAAACACTTTTGAGGAGATTTACCAAACACTAAAATCAACTTCTACTATAAGGAGAAGTTGATTTTGGAAGGAAAAAACAATACCAAACTAAGCCTAGTAAGCTCTAAGAAATTATAAGACGATTTTGTTTTACTTTTGAGAGATTTTTTTTTTATATAGATTTTAACAGATTTCATTTGATTGTTAATTTATTAATTGTTTTGTTTTATACGGATAATGAATCCATGGTAGAACATTAAAAACTTTCGATTATTGTTATTCTTGCTCTTATGCGAAGACTTATTTTCAATTCCCATACTCGTTTCAATTATTCACCAAATTTCTTCCTTTTTTTTTTCAATTAAGTATTACTATCAATTGTAGTCACATGTTACATGGATTACATGTTGAAGCAATTATCCACATGTTTTAAGCAAATATTGAATTCTGGACTTTAAAAAAATAAATAAAATATAACAAAAAAGAAAAAAAAGTTTTTATAATTAAAAAATTACCCTTACAAATACTAATAATGGGCAGTATTCGTATCCATCAAAATAAATGCACACATATACACTAAAAAATTCTGCACTATATTTAATAAGGAGCCGACTATATTAGAGTTATTATTATTATGGCAAGACACTAATAATCCTTGTGTTTTGCCAATATTATAATGACACCCTTTTAACCAAAACGAATGACGTCAACACCCCATCCACTAAACTTTGTTAAACTTGTTTGTGAAATGTCAAAAATACCGCTTTAATTATTAACGGTTGATTCTCAAATAACAAATCTCAGCCACCAATAATGGGGAGCAAAAATGAAACCCTAGTTCTAAGATACGCAACCGTGTGAACCCTCTTCCCAACGGGTCTTTTTGAAAAATAGGCTTAAAATGTGTAATGTGTTTAATGAGTAGGCTTCAAAATATAAAGTTTCAATGAGTAAGCCTCTTATTAAATGAAAAAATATGTATTCCCTAAATGCCCCTCTCCTTTTCTCTCAAATTAAAAGAAAAAACGTTTGAAAAGGAGGAGCTAAATCCCCTCCTTCGCTGGGCAGTCACGAGGAAACGTTGCTGGCCAAAGTTCACCGGCGGCGCCACCTTTCACCGCCGGAGAATGCCCCTACCTCTGGTATTCTCTCAAATCTTGTATTTTTTATGCTTAATTCATTGTTTGAATGCTGGGTAATCGTGGTTTGGTATTTTATTTGAAAAACCAACAAGAATCATGCTATTTCATGGCCTCTTCGGAGTTGAGTAATCTGCAAAATTGAAGAAACTCACGTCTGTCATTTCTTTCCGTTCTGACTGGTGGGAGCGGTAAGAAACCTGAGTCCAGTCAGAAAGTTCTTACTGGTGTGCCCTATAAGAAAATTGCCAACCGGTCTTTCCAGTAAGAAAGATCTGATCGGGCATAATTTTGCCTCTCTTTAAGGCGACCCGTCGTTTTTCCCTCCCCATTTAAAGGATATTTTGGTCATTCACTCTTATCCCAGGAATAAAAAAAATGAAAATTGAAATTCCATTTATAACGGGTCTACGAATTGAATGGGTGTACATTTGGGGTCTATTGACTTAAAAAATCCCTTCTGAACTCCCACCAAGCTGCGCGACCCCACCCTAACCCTTGCGCGACCCCACCCCAACCCTTGACCCAACCTTCTCCAACACAAACCAGCTTTGACACGACGCCAGAGTAAGCACTGTATGATGAGATTTTATTGTTTGTTTGTTTACGTCTTTTTATTTATGAATTTTCATAACATCATCGCTAAAATCAATCATCTTTATCAATTAGGTCGTGCAATATCATAATTCATAGTTAAAAGGACCTAATTACTTCTTTAAAATTTTATTATATGGACAAAAGCATGTTAAAACTTTTAAATGAGGTTAATATTCATTATTTTTGTCCATTATGTCACTCCTAACATCATAACATATTATCATGAATCTATTTTTTTTTTTTGTCGATCATGAATTTTTTTTTTTTTTTTTTTTTTTTTTATGGCAATCATGAATCTATTTTGGATATAGTTCAGTATTGTTTTTTATTTAAAATAAATCCTGTTACAAAATTCCGAAATGAAACTCGGGGAAATGTGTAGGCGTAGTTAAATGGGAGGACAAAAACGCCATTGCAATATAAACTCTTTTGACAAGCCTTCTCTAGTAATAACTAATGAAAAGTCTAAAACGAGTTATTCAATCTCAAAAAACAAAACAAAACAAAACACAAAACAAAAAACAAAAAACAAAACAAAAGGAGAGAGAACGAATTAGGGTTGGCTCAGTCATCAATTCATGATGTTGATCTTCTTCTTGAGGTCGAATTGCTCTTGAGAGTGAAAAAGGAAGAATCTTTTTGAGGGATTTCTCAACAGGTACTCTTTCTTCTTCATTTCTTACTTTGATTTTTTAACTTTCTGAATCCGGAATTGAATCTCCATTACCGGCTCAAAGGTGACCCGGCTAAGCTAGTACCAGAGATTACGAATCCTACTTGCATTGCATATAAACCCCAATTTTTTTTTGGAGCTAATCTGGAACTAGGACGAATTAGGGTTCTTCAACTGTTCCGGTTTCAGAGGAAAAAGGATAAAGCCATTTTCGTTCACTAACAAAATTCTGCATTTTTAGCTGTTATTTTTGTCTTCTCTCTCTGCTATATTTTTCTATGATTTTTGAACATATTGTACTGACTTTCGGAATTGAATCTCAATTTCTGACTCAAAGTAGTCCTGGTAGTAGCAGAGGCATCTCCCTAATTCTAGAGTAGAAACCATGATTTTCTTTGAAATTGTTGTTTCCTTTATTCCTGCCCTAAAATTTAATTTTTCTATAGACTTACTTTCAGTTTTAAAACCAAGGCATCTAACTATGAATTATGATTCTCTCTGCTGTTCAATTCGCAGCAAAGGGAATATGAATTAGAGATGCAAAATTGAATCTTAAAAATGGGTACTTTCGGACAGGCGGTCTCTCATCCTCGTGGATTCTCGCCCTTTCTCGTAGGTTCCACATCTTTTTCATCTTAAAAATGGTTACTTTTGCATTTTGTAATGTTTTCACTTTATACCAAAAATTTCTCAGTAATGTGTGGCCTACAATACGTCGTGGCTATAATATTTTGCTCAACGTAGTGTTACACTTATTTTGGTCTGCATTTGGAATTGAATCTCAATTTCTGACTCTTAAGGAATCCTAGGTAGTACCAAAAGAATCTTCCTTATGCTAGAAATCCAAGCTCCCATGACTTTGTTTCGAGTTTTTTCCTTTAATTCTTATTAATAATTGTTCCTAATTTCACAAATTCTGCATTTTTAGCCGTGAACAAATCTAGCTTGCTTTGCAACTCCCACTAGTGAATCTACAATCACCATTCAATGTTGGCGAAAGGAAGGAAAGTTTCGGGTCGAGGTGAAGCAGTAGCTGCAAACTATGCTTTCGGCCCACTTGAAGATGACATCATCATAAAACACAGGCTCCTCACCCGCACCACCACCACCCGGGGAGAACCGCCATTGAAGAAGCTTCAGAAGAAGTTCACCTCTTTCTTCACTGAGATCGACAAGAATGATGACAAAAACTTCGCTGACTGCGAGAAGCTTGCCAAGGCTTTCCTGCAGGAGCTCTCTACCTTTGAGATTCCGCTCCTCAAGAGCAGGGCGGTTGTTGAGGCCAACATCAGAGAGAAGGAGAACTTCCATGAGTTGAAAGAGGAGATCAACCGGCAGATTGTGCAGGCACAGTCTGACATTGAGGATCTCAAGAAACAGCTAGAGCAGAGCAAGATCGAGAGGCGTCACAAGGAGGAGTGCGAGGCAATCAGGAAGCTGATTGCTGCTCAGCCGCCAAGGTCGGAGACACAAAAGCTCATTGCTGAGTTAGAGAAAGAGATTGCAGCGCTAGACGCAGAGAACACCGCCAGTTCGAGGTTGTTGGAGCTTCGTAAGAAGCAATTTTCCCTTTTGCTTCACGTGGTAAGATTGCCGTTAAAAGTTTCTTGCATTTTCTATTACCCAATTTGCATTTGGACTATCATTTCGGTTAATGTTTCGCTCTTGTTCAAACTGCTTGAAGGTGGATGAGTTGCAAAATACAATAGAGGAAGACCAGAAGAATTTGATTGAGGAAATGAGACTTGCGACAGAAGAGCAGAAGAACGGGTTGGAGGATGCAATTGGGGGCTCAGAGGCCATGGCTGTCGATTAGTTTTTATTATCTTTTCCGAAGTGAGTTTATGTTTTCTTAATGATGTATCTTTCAGTGCATTACATCTCCTGATGTTTAGGAACACATGATATAACGGAGTATGATAAAAATTTTGTAGGTTAGTTGGGGAAAGTTGAAAATTCCTAATCTTTTAAACAGTTTGGCTTGTTTTGCTTGAAAATCAGTGCTGCAAGCTAGGATGATGAGAAAAAATATTATACCTTTGTTTTGCCATGCTGTGATGTGAAAACAGAGTGTATTATCAGTGCATGTGAAGGAAGGTATTATAGTTTGATACTAAATACATTACCACCTAATGTCACTTGAAGAAAACAGTACACCCATCAAATGTCTTCACGAAGGCAGTCCCAAAACCAAATATGTTTCCTGCTTTTGTTCTTCGTATTCATGATTGCTTCAAAAAGTGTTAGATAGTAAAATGATTGTCAGTCCAGAACCAATAATACATCGTAATGTCTTTTTCTGGTAAGTTGTAGATTGTCTTATGATCTTTAGTTGGTAGTTGCGAGAGGGAATCTAATGCTGTAGAGTATGTGCGTTTAGAGTAAGGATTCGTGACATGATTCGGATCATAGTTCGTGGCTCGCTACAATGTTTTCTCTCATAAAAAACACGCGTAAACTGAAAATGGTTCTGAATTATGGTTATGAATTCATGAACCAAACGTCTAAAACGGCAGCGCCTCCTGCTTTTACACGTTGCATTGTAATTTGTAGTAGGAATTAATTAATGGTAGTGAAATGCTTGTAGATTTAGCCTTGGTGAGAAAGATGGTTTTGATTTTTGAACTATATACATATACATACATATATATATATATATATATGCGCAATGGTTTTGAACATTGGCGGCAGAAGCGTCCTTGAGGCGGTACTCGTTTGTGGAGTTGATAATGCAGGATTGGATTTGGATTGAACGGTTGGTTTCACTTTCCTTTCTCTGACCTTAATACGTATAGGGTCCATTTGGAGCTCAACATAAGATAACATTGGATAGGATAGTATTACGAATTGGATTGGAATGTTTAGGAAGAAATAGGATTGGATTTTTGTTAATAGTATCCTACGTTTGGTGATATGCCACTAGAATAATTTAAGATTATGCATTTTAATTAATTATAACAAAAATAAAATAAAGTGTTAATTCCACCCCGGTGAGATTTCGAGTACGCTATGAGTAGATCCGCCAATTGGAATGACAATTTATTTGTCACGCCCACACTATTGTATAGATTACTTGGAGTTACTCAATATAAAATGAGTTTGGGATTTAATTTGGCATAAAGGCAATCAATTAGCATACAAATGCAGCATAAGCAAAAGGCATGCGACTACTAGAACTCCTCCTCCATGAGTTTTATTTCCGAAAACAGTAAGGTTAAGAGTTAAAAGATAATTAAGTTCTCTGCTAAAGTACACATTTTTAATGTGTAAGCAGAATTTGTGTATATATGTTGAATCGTGGTCCATGGAACCAAACCTATTCAGGGTTTAGGTTTAGTGAGATGATTTTTGGCAAGAAGTGCAATGTTGGCAAGTGCGTCAATAGAGACAACTGAGGCATTCACGGCAAATTCGTCCTTGACTTCATACTCGATGGTGGACTTGACGATGGAGGAATCGCCGTCTTTCTCAATGATCTCAAACCGAACTCGGTAAAGGGTAAATCCCAAGTCTAAGTATCCGCCTTCAACCACCTCCGTTTCTTTCACGCGATTCTCGTTGTCTATCTTCGTGAACTTCTCTTTGTAATCACTTAACCCCGTACCTGATTAATTCATACAATCAACAACTAAATAACCAGGAATGACGAATACTGACAGAACCGTAAATATTTTTCATACGGTTCTTTTTCAAATGAAAAATGGAGAATTTTATGGTAATGTATGGCTTTTTTTTTTTTTTTTTTTTTTTTTTTTTTGTGTGGTGAAAAATGAAACTGTAAATTATGAAAGATATGGTGCAATTCTTTTTCTTTTTTTTTTCTTCTTTTTCTCTTTTCAGAGATACCGTGCAATTCTAAGCAGTCTAATTTCATCAAGTGTCGTTAAATGTGGTTACGTTTTTGAATTATGGTATGATATTGATATGATCTAATGATACAAAAATAGCAACAGTGAAAGTCTCCATTTCATATTCTACCAAATAACTCCCCAAATATATATGTGTATATATATATATATATGTGGGCGATATTCTTTTATTATCATGTGAGGGTACAATTATCATTTCTATTATTAAATAAGAACACAACTGAAATGTATCAAAATAAAATGAATGAAATTCTAAATTTTAAATTTCTCCCCGGTGAAATATATTGAAATGATGATTGAAACTTGTTTGAAGTGTTAAATGAGAATGTTTGTGAGGTAGTAAAAATGGCAAGTGATATAATTATAAGCAAATAGTAGACGGGAAAGATGAAAGATAAAGGAACCTGGGACAAAAGAGAGGTGGAGAATGGTGCCAAGGCCACCATCACCTTGGACGAGCTCAATCTTTTGGATGAGAGTGGAGAATTGTTCTTCCACCAGTTTCGCCAGCTGAAGCCCGCCGTAAAGCTCCCAAGCTTCGCTCGCCGGCACTGGCAGTTCCAGCTTGTGCCAAAGCTTGTCTCCCACCACCATTTTCGATTATGTTCTGCGAAATAATTGAGTGCTTAGTGATTATTTGCTTTTAGCCACACAAATATGGGTATTTATGCACCAACGCTTTACGACAAAACCTGGTTCATCAAAGTTGGCTCCAAAAGATTCTTTTACTTGGAAGGAAAAAAAAAATTTAAAGTCTTACAGAAAATATATATTCCATGTGGAATTTTCAACTATTACATGTTTATATCAATGATATGAATATTGATATATTATTATTATTATTATTATTATTATTATTACCCTACACGGAAATTCTCCTATAGTCCTATTTCTAGGACACTAGTCCCTAGGTGGTCTGCCGACTAGCCAAATGCAAAATTTGAATAAACAAACAAACATTTTATTTTATTGTCGAACCCAACCGTCTACATTGGCGAAGATAACAAGATCTCTGTATGAGCGAATCAGAAACCACCTTTCACATTCAAAACGACAAATCTTTTTATACATGTTTAATCAACTAGTGATTTAAGACATTTTTTGCTCTTATTTGAGAAACCTAAGCATAAGCATCTTGCAGGCATCAAATATTTGACAAAGTTGCAGTTGAGCCACTCCTGTTTCCAATTCTTCATTGGGACACTTCATGTTGGCCCAATCCATGTACTATTCTCAGTATGGGCCTAAGAATAACAATGAAGAGAAAATTGTTGAACTTATAGGGATAAACCGTAAAAAAAATATAATGAGAAGGCTAATAGAATTATAAATAAAAGTAAAGTAATGAAATTAAAGGTCTTTATTTTTTTTATGTGTTTACTTAATTATTAAATGGTATAATAGAAAACAACTATATTTATTTTTTTATGTTTACTAAAATTAAAAAATAACAATATTATGAATGTAATCACTAAATTATTTTTTTACTCAATTAAATAATCATTCGCTATATAATAATTTATTAAGGGTAGATAATTAAATTTAGTATTCATTCTCTTTGACAAGAAATCAATACTAATCTCTTTGACAAGAAATTACTAATTTTGTAAGTAAACATATTATTAGATGGAAAAGAAAATCACTCCGTACTTCCCCTTTCTCTTTGATGCGAAGTAAACATGCCCTTAGTGTATGAGTTTGGATACCCCTTACTCTTAATTAATACATTTTGACTAATATAGTTATTTAATTAAAAAAGATAAAGAGTAAAATTCTAGACCTATATATTCTAAAGAGTGCTTGTCTCATTGCCTCAATTAAAAAAAAAAAAAAAAACATGTCACTTTTTATATCACTTTCCGTGTTCCCCAATAATAACACGTCACGTTATGACTTTTTAATTGACGTGATAAGAATCTTTTAATTGATGTAACATTTTAATTAACGCGTCACAATATTATTAGAGGGATATTAAAAAAAAGACATGAATAAGAGCACACATGATTTGATTCTATATATTCAACACGAAGGCTTGCTTGTATCCAACCTTAATACTTCAATATGGCCTTATGACTGTACTTAATTATTCTTCTTTATATATCAACTTTGCATGTTTGACTGTGTTTTGACCTACCACGTTGGAACAAGTTATTTTTGTTATATTTAAATCATGTTTATTTGCTTTACTTGGATCGGATGATATATAGGAAACTATAGGGGAGAAAGAAGGAAATAGGCCAAGATTTGAGATGAATTAAAATTAATAGGCCAATAGTTTACATAAGTTAATAAATAGGTCAAATTACTGTTTTTGTTCATAACTTGGAACCATAACTTAATAAGTTATTGACAGTTTTTATCCATAACTTATATGGTTATAAACCATAACTTGACAAGTTATGGCCTATTAATTTCTATAACTAAATATTGACCTACATATTTTTTTAAGCTTTTCATATTGGCCTATTTTCTACTATTTCCGGAAACTATATTAGAATTGTCAGTCAATTTGTACTGTTTGAACCGTTAGTCCAAGCCCAACTATACTATATGTATGTGTGTGTGTCATGACGTGTATATATACTATATGTATGTGTGTGTGTCATGACGTGTTTATATATATATGTATGTATGTATGTATTTATGTGTGTGTATATGCATCAAGGGAGCAACATTCATCAGAGGTTGCAAATTGATCCGTTTAAAAAATGAGCGTTTCGAGTAAAAAAAAAAAAAAAAAAAAAGGTGGCGGAATGGGATCTTTGATGAGTTATTCAAACTTAATACAAAGCAGTCAATACTTTCTTTGATAAATTACAAGCTAGTGATAATATTAATATTATAAATGATGATATGAAAGATTTACAAGCAATCAAGCTTGTTATTCATGTAAATGAAATATTGTCAATTAGACATGTTGTTATACCAAAAATGAGAGTTACCTTGCCCGAGATAAATTTATTACCTCCTTATTTGTTAGTTACTGCTGCGTAATTTCGAAGTTAATTAACGTTCACCTTTTTTTAACGTTACGAAACATTCTTAATCTTTTTCCTTTTGTTTCTTGTTCTTATCCCTTCATTGAAAACTTTTTTTTTTTTTTTATAAGATATGCTTAACTTTTTTGAATATTGTAAAAACAGCGCTCTAATTGACATGTGATCTAATTGGTAAATTAAAGCAGAAACGATCAAGTCAAAATTATATATCAAAATCCACGTAAGAAATAATTTAAAACTAATTTACATTTTTTTTTCTCTTTATACATAAAACAACAACAATATATACCAAAAAAAAAAAAACGACACCAAGATATTATTTTGATTTTTGAACCCTAAATTTTCAGCCCTGCTAGGTGATGATCACATGAATATTGGTAGGCTGACAAAAATGCAATTAAGCTTAATGAACGACAGACAAAAAAAAAATGAAAAAAGAGAATTGTAATTTGAACACATGAAAGAGACATCGTTATCAAGAGAGAGAAGCATAATATAATAAAAACAAATAAGTCAATTAATAAACCCTATTGGTGGCCAAACACTAGATAGAAAGTCATATATATTTGTTTCTTCTTTTATTTACCGTTGAAATTAAATACATTAATTCTTTGTTATTCAACAGCTTAATATGAGCGTTTGAATTTGTAACAAAGATAAACAAATTTACAGATCCCAAAAGCTTTGGTTTCTGTTTGAATAGTGGTCGTTTTTAACTAAACTTTTCTGGAGATTCCTTTAAAAGCATAAATATTTGAAAACTGTAAGAAAATATGAGTTTTGATATAACTAACTTTCTTAGCCATCGATTACATCCTTTTTTCACAATCATTTCTGGAAATTAACAAACCTCCCCAGGCAAACGCATTCAGAGGAAAATTATAAAAAATAATCTCACAATCAGTCCATTTTGAAACTATTTTGTTCTAACAAATTATGTCCATCTTAGGCAAAGAATTTTGAGTGGGGACGTAACTTTTCTTGTTACACTGTCCAAGGTATAACTCATTCAAGGAAACCGATCAGTTGATTTATCCAAAAAAAAAAAAAAAACAAAAACAAAAGACAAAAAAAAACCAGAGAGAGAGAGTTGAATAGGAACTTGAAAAAACAGCAAATATTTTTTGGTCAATGAATGTAAATATTCTCAAAAGGTTCATGTATTTATTTGCTAAGATATGGGAATTTCTATTGTAGTCCCTGTAAAAATGGGACTATCGGTATTCTTTATTTTTGAGTCGTTAGGTCTGTATCAGAATTTATCTGTTTTGCATATTTTTTTTATCTAATGTGATTTTGATAAGATCTAACGGTCAAAAACTGAGATTACTGATCATATATATATATATATATAAAATATCTAACTTTGATTTAAAAGTAGTAGGAATATACCGCTTACAAATAAAATAAAATAGAAACAATACCATTTAGTGATACAAGAATGCTCATGGTGAAATCCAATTTCTCACTTTTTATTACGTAACAATTATGTGTAGTGATACATATATTATTTGGATGAACATTATCATAGGTAATACGTTAAGACTGTATATATATGATGATAGACACTATTATCAATGTATTGTACTCCGTAATTTCTTTTGCTATACTGGTATAATCTCAAATAATTTGCGATTTTTTGTCTTGTAACCAAGGTTTAATTAAGAATAGAAAAGCTCAAGTGACTTGTAAATGAGGATAATGAGGTCAGGTTAGGAGGAAAACCTCCGGCAGACTCTACTGTCCTTTTAACCCCCACATTGACTACTCAAACCCAATGATGTCATAGCCAACAATGAGAGAACAACAACAACAAAATTCACGTACTTTTTGGTACCACTAAATGCAGAAATTCATAGAATCAATCTTATTTTGTATTAAAATAAGGTTAAATACCAACTCTCTATTTTCTCATTTATATAATTAAGGTAACAAGTACTATGTATTTTAAAAACCAGACATATATGCAGTCCGCAGAAAATTAAAGACATATAAATACCATGCATGTTAATTGCAGATTAATATATTACTACGAATAATGGTGATGCATGAAAGCAATAAGATATGCGCACAAAGAACAATCAAAATTAATATTCATATATATATATGACACATTTCTTTTGGTGAAAGAGGAACGTTATATATATATATATATATATATATATACACACGTCTTTTGACCGATGGCTGTGTTTATTTTTAATTCCATATACAGATAACTTGTCTCCTATGCACCGAGCATAATCTTTTTGGTTGCTTTTAGTTATAATCACGACGCTGAAAAAAGTATTGATCCATCCTACATCATAACTAATAATTTCATAAAATATATACAAGAAAAATATTGAAGTAAAAGAAATAACAATAAAAAAGAAAAACAATACAAGCATATATGTGGGTTAAAGATAAAAATATATGCATGTGTATATATTAAAGAGAAAAGGTTTGTTTGGTGAAAGAAAGATGAACTGTGCAATGGCGACACTTAGATTAGTTGGAGATACAGCTTTCTTAAAATCTGATATAAAAGATTGTATATCTATATGCTTATGTAATATATTTATATATAGTTAGTAAAGAATATGTAATTATAATAAATCCAAAAACTTTTGGTAATATGAGAAGCACTTTGACGTTGATGAAAGATTGACGTGTAATTTGTTTCAATATAGAGGCGGCGATTACTGTACTTAGCCATAAAGGGGTCGGATATGCAGATTTTTTCCCCCGATAATTGAGTAGCAGAAAAAAATCAAGAAGACATTTGAAATGAAGAAGACTATAATTAAATATTAATTAAACATTAAAACGGTTTGTTCTAATTATATGATCCATTGTTAGTAGCTGATACGTTAATTGAATCTAAGACAGCTAAAATATAATTTTGTTTCCCTTTAATATCATTAATTAGTCAGATCATTTCGAGAGTTCGAGGGAATTTAGAGTTCACAAAGATATAGAGATACATTATCATAAAACTGCAATCCAAATTCTAATGGGTGCAGGTAGATATGTACGTGGACAAAGTAGACTTTTTTCGTTTTTGCGCTGGAAATTAATAGACTACGTAGAATTTTGACTTTGTGGCGTTATGGCTCTTTGCAATGTTAGAAGATTATATATATGAATACCCATTAAGAGTACTGATGAGTGATGAGAAGGAGAGAGCTGGTTCATTGGCGTGAAGGAGTTGGAGCACGTCCGAATTATTAGATTGGCATCTAAAAACAAAAGTAAGGTCAACTAGCAAAATAAAGGTCTTACCAAATAAATATATGTTCTCATTAAGTTATGAAATGGGATTAATTAAGGAATACATATGAGGTTAATTATAACATCTCCCGTTGTTTAATAATTAAGAACAACACGAAAAACCCTTTTTTTTTTTTTTTTTTTTTTTTTTTTTTTTTTTTTTAATTGACGTGTTTATATTTTATGAGGATTTAATTAAGTCTAAAAATTGCGCCTCACTCTCTATAAATCATGTGAAATCTCAAAAGAAACCTCCCGATTCGCGTAATATCAGAACTCAGAAATTTATCACTGAAGTCTATGAATACTTTAATTAGCTCATCACTATATTCAAACTCTTTGTTACCTAATTAGTTTCCCAATCTTGAGGTTAAATATTTTACCTCATAAAATCTCTTGCAACTAATATACATGCAAATACGGGTGAATACGTATATTAATAATAGATCACATGTCAAACATAATTAATAAGAAGTCAATATATATATATATATATATAGTTGTGCAAATGAGATTATTAATCAAACGATAAAGAAGTGTGTATATGTTACTCCTTCATGGTGGGTCCAATAGAAGGACTGAATAGTGTTGCGTGTGTTGACATGCAACCTATTTGATTTATGTAATAACACGTATATAGAAAGCATTACTGGATGAATATATGCAAATATATCCCTATATCAAATACCATATGCACTTGGAAGATCAAGGACATGTTTGGAATTTCATGTCAAATTTTGAGATGTGAAGTTGCTAGCTAGCTAGAGTGGGAGGATTAATTTAGGCAATTGTGTCAATTTTTTTCTTTTCTTTGCTTATTCTTTCCAAACATAATCAAACCACAAATCACTATAAAATTAGACAGTCTTCTCTGCTGTTTCTTCATAACTTATAATCTTATCTTATATGTTTTGTATCTCCAATATCTCAGACGACTCTCTCTTATAACGCAGTACTCTCTTTTTTATCATTTAATTTAAGGTCCCAAGCTAGCTCATGTACTCCTTTTCATCTTTTATTATGATACAGAATGTAGTTATCCTATATATGCTATTCTTATGATGAGTAGTGTTGTCGCAGATTGATTATAGGATTTAATGATGGGAAGATCACCGTCGTCGGACGAAAACGGGCTGAAGAAAGGGCCGTGGACGCCGGAGGAGGACCAAAAGCTGGTGGATTACATTAGGAGAAATGGACATGGAAGTTGGAGAGCACTGCCAAAGCTTGCAGGGCTTAACAGGTGTGGCAAAAGTTGCAGGCTCAGATGGACAAACTATCTGAGGCCTGATATCAAGAGGGGAAAGTTCACTGAGGATGAAGAGAAGCTCATCATCAACCTTCATGCTGTTCTTGGCAACAAGTAATTATCAATTAATTAATTTTACCGAATTTCAGCCAGAGATTATGCACTTTAATTTCCAAAATTTGTAAATTGCTCTCATTTGATTCATTTAGTAAACAGATATTTTCAAGTTTCATTCACTAATTTGTGGAATTGTTCTTACTTTTCTTCAAATGTTGCTTCATAATACCCTCCATTATATCATAAACGAGAAAAGCATTATTCATTAAAAAATAAATAAGGGAAATCGACTTTCAAGTACTAATTCAACTTGATTAATCTTGGCATGTCCATATGGATATGTCGGAGTTAATTATTGCCAATCATATTGCATAATTTCTAATTAATAAATTATTCTAAGTATAGGAGAAATTACTTAAATATTTGTTATATATATGTGTGTAGTTTTTAACAATATTCCATGTTACTGTGTTCATGTAGGTGGTCCACCATAGCAGGACATCTGCCAGGGCGGACCGATAACGAAATCAAGAACTTCTGGAACACCCATTTAAAGAAAAAGCTTCTCCAAATGGGAATTGATCCGGTAACCCACAGACCTAGAACTGATCTAAACATTCTCTCCAATCTTCCTCAATTGATTGCTGCTGCTAACTTTGCCACCACCTTCCTCAACAACACCAGCAACAATAATAATCCCTTCTCATTAGACACCTCCAATCTTAGGCTCTCCTACTCTGATACCGCGCAACTCGCAAAATTCCAAGTTCTTCACAACTTCTTGCAAGTCCTAAACACTACTACCACTGGTACTAGTACTTCTGCTAATGCCACCACCCCGAGTCTCGAAGCGATTTACAACCTTTTAGGGTCATCATCCTCGTCCTCAACAATTATGGACCGTCAGCCTTGTGTTGACGAGTATTTGCGATTGATGGAACATTCTAGGCTCGATGATGCTTTCGGCCATGGCCCTCATCTTGTTGATGCCGGTTTTGGTCCACATAATCCTAGTACTACTCGTATCCAAAGCAGTACCAGCACTTTTCCAAATACAGAATTAGCCCCTCATCAAGATGCTCATCACGTCTTAATACCACCAATTACTACTAATCATCCCATTAGCACAGCTAGTAACCCTCTTGGAATAGTTAATCATCAACTAGCTTGCAATAATAATCAACTTCCTCACTTGGTTTCTGTGGCCTCATCACCTGATGATCATCATGATCATGAGACTGCTACAATACTTTCTAATAGAATTATTAACCAAAATTATAAGGTTAATAACAACCCGAATAATAATACTGATCATCTTTCTAATCCTAATTCATCCACCACTTCAACCACCTTTGAAGCATGGGGAGATCTTATAGATGATGAGACAACCGACTCTTATTGGAAGCATATCATGGAGTAAGCTGTTTTCTCTTTATCCTTTTCTCTCCACATAGATATATATGTTTTATATTCTTATTTTATTTGTTAATATTTTTTTATTAATGCTTACTTATATGTATGTGTATATATATATATATATATATATATATTTATATATATTGGATTTTGGCAGTTTAGCATCTTCACAGACATTGGTCAATCTCGCGGAATGAAGTAATTACTGGCTTGCTTTCAGATTGAGGCCATGTCGTAACAAGAGGAGGTTTTAGTAAAATCGATCATAGTTATAGTTATAGTTTTAGGTTTTTTTTTTTTTTTTTTTTTTTTTTTTTTTTTTTTTTTTCCAATCATGCGTTTCTGTTCATAATACTGAATTTTTATATATTAGATAGTTCTATCACTTGGATATCTAAGCAATTACTAATATTGTATTGATTGTAATAGGATCACATATATATCAGATTTTGTTAAGGGTGTACATTTGTAATACTTATTACAATAGAGATGTTTTTTGTTTAACAAACAGCTCTTTAGTGATTCTAGAAACATTTATGTGTGGCCAAAGATTATGCGATCATTAATAAATCCTTTGAAATATTGATCAAAGATGGACATATCCAATTCACTAGTACCGCCATACAATCATAAGTTGTCAAGTATTTTTCAATAGGAGAGAGATGAAAGAAGGAGACGATATTACCGTTTAATGTTATAAAACAGTGGACAAGAATATAAAAGGAGTTAGTTGTTGATAGTTTCGGACACGGAATAGATAAAAAATGAGAAAGACCTCTTGAAGTTGAAGGGTTTGACCTTTGATAAGGGATAACAAACTCATGTCAAACATCTCTATCTATATATCAATCAATCTATCAATCAATCTATCTATTATATGTACATATATATATATATATACACATACATATATATGATATGTAAATTTATAATGACGTGGACAAGTCACACACCTCAACACATATATGCTCACACCTCTTATGGTGTATCTCTCATCTCTAGTAGTAATTAGCAACTTGGAGAGTAACACCATAAAAAAAGTAGGATTAAATATAGAAAAAGGTGATTATTACATAATGATGATTCTTGAACTAATTGCTGATTATATCTGCCATTGTCATGAAAAGTCAAGAGTTTTTGTTACCCATTAGGTAAGAATATATATTCCTTGTGAATCAAGCGATCCATGAAAAAGTAAAAGCAAGTCATTTGGCAAACCTAACAGTCTCTCCCCTTTTCTCTCATAGAGAAGGATAGATACCATGAAGTTGATGGTGTCGAAAAGCTTGTAAATGAGTGGGCTGATTAGTAACAAATTTTACGGGAATTCTTTGGTGGGAGTACAAAAATACCCTGCTATTATGGCCCGTATTGCACCGTTAAATTTTCACCGGATTATGTTAATTTACATATTTTTACTAGGGATGGCAATAGGACGGGGTGAGGGTAGAGGATTATTTCCCATTCTCGCCCTCCTAAATTATCCTTATCTTCGTCTTTATCCCCGCATAAATAGGAACAGGGTCGGAGTCGAAAATTTCTCATAGGGAGCACTTCTCATATCTGCCACATTTCTCATCATATGAATCACTATGCATTTTAAAATTATAACAACTTAAAATAAAAATAATAGAATAAAAATTTATTATAAATTTAGACTAAACTGAAAAGTTCATAATAAAACTAAAAATTCTTGATCTATTGCCAATTGAATCAAAAAGTAATAACCAATGTATAAGGGAAGAAAGTTTAAAAACATCAAAATAAAAAAGTAATAACCAATGCATAAGGGAAGAAAGTCTAAAAACATCAAAATAAATAAGTAAATTATCCTTCATTCTCTATTCCTAATAGCTTTAAAAGAGGATGAAGAGGCACTAGACACTACATCTTTATGTGTATATATAATATAGGAGAAGATTAGTAATTGCTCTTTTTTTTTCCGGTACAAGAAACTATAATCGGTACTTTGCCTCACCCAATTAAAATAATGCAGCTACCCTTTTCTTAAGTAGAAAGTAATTTTAAAAGATTATGTGTATCAATATATATATATATATATATATATATTTACATAAAAAATAATACATTAATATGGGACAGAGTCTAAGTAGGGAGTACTTCTCCCTTCTCCACGTTGCCACGAATTGGAGACTAGATTTTGTCTCCTCTCCATCCTCATCCCTATTAGTTATCTCCCATCCCTAATAATTATCTCTCATCCCCGCTAGGCGGGGCCCGTCCTGTAGAGATTAGCATCCCTAATTTTTACATTACTAATGCAATTAACATAATTGAATGGCCCATAACTTTTTTTAGGGTATATATACCAATGGCGTAATTATTTTGTACTCTTATCATAAAATTCTCCTTTAACATTAAGTGAAAATTTTACTCTTACTTTGAATATTCGCTTTCTTATGTAAAACCAAGGGGTCAAAAGAAAATCTATACATGAGAAATCCCAAAGTTGCAAGCTAGGCAAAAAACCTTGCCCAGGAAATGACTCGATATATCAAATATAGTAGGTATTCTATTGACCTTCAGAAGCAACTAACCTACCTACTTTGCCAAATATGTAGAGATTACGACCTAAGGTTTCATTAAAAATAAAATGTTTCATTATTTACTCACAAAAAAAAAAAAAAAAAAAAAAAGAAAGAAAAAGAAGAAAGAAATGTAATGACACTCGAGGTGAGGACAATAGAGAATTTAGTTAGGCACAACAATTTGTAACCCAAATTTTATTAATATCTATCTAACATGGATACATGTCCCTCATATTTTTCTTTTAACTATATATTTATAGTCATATACACTAGTAACTGGTGTATGAATAGGAAAGAGGGCAATTATAACTCGTATATCATCAATCTCTCATGAAATGATATCCAACTTCTGAAAAAAAAATAATAATAATAAAAATTTGTTTCATTTAGCTTGATAAGGAAGCAATTTATGACATTATTCGGGGCAGGTTGATTTATTCTTTGGAAGCAGAATGTGTACAATCCATCATATCATATTAGAATAATAAATTCAGAGTATAGAAGCCATTAAAATAAATTCAAGCAATGCAATGCAAGAAAATATTCATCAAATAAAATGGAAGAATTAGTGTATAATTGTGAACAACAATTCATAAATATCACATACGAGATACAATTCTCCAATTGATTTCCCTCCTTAAGCTTACCAAACAGAATGTCATTGATCATTCCTTCAAGGAGAGAAAAAAAAAAAAAAAAAAAGTAGGGACTTTGAATGCTGTGAATGTGGTTTATTTTTTTAGTTAGTTGGTTTGTTTTGGACAAGATCCAACAAGAAATCCGTCAAGACTGGTTCATAATCAGGCATCTTTTCATATCCAGGGAAGTAATTGATATCGATGACGAAATACTTGCCGTTGCAATCTCTGATCAGATCAAAGTTGAAGAGACGAAGCCCTAATTCCTCCCTCAAACTCCTCGCCACCTCCTCCACAATCTCATCAGGAGGCATCTCTACTTCCTTCAGATTTAGATTCACTTCATCATTAGAATTCGATATTTGCGAGAACGGCATTACGCCGCCGTCGGAATCCCCATGATCTTCCGGCGAAATGTCCGGCATAGACCTCCGCTTCACGCACTTGACGTGACGATCGCCCACCACGTACACCTTGAACACCACTCCCCCATGGTTCACGAAAACCTGAACCACCATCGCATTTTTGCTTTCTTTCAGAATCTTCTCCAATCCGTCGGCGTTGAAAACGAGAAACATCTCGTGCGACGCGGCTGTGCCGTTCGCCTCCAGCGGCTTCGCGATCGCCGGGAATTTCAGCTCGAGATCCTTCTTCTTCTTCAATTCGTCGGAATCGGTAATCGCGACCTGTTCCGGAACGCCAAGATCGAATTTTTCAGTGATTCGTACTCGGTTGACGGCGTCGAGCATGGAGATGCGGTTGTGGAGCCTCTGAATCCGGTCTGGAGGGTCGACGATGACAGTGGTAGGGCTTTTGGTGGTGAATTCTCGGAGGTTTTGTATCCAGTTTTGGTCGTAAACCTTGTGGAGGATGCAGTGGAAAGGAGCTTGGTCGGTCAGTGGGAGAGTGGGGTCGATCGTAACGAGAACGATGCCGTTGTGGGCGGCGTGGTCGAGGAGTGAAGGTCGGATGAAGGTCTTCACTTTATTGGACTGCAGAGCGTAGCCGATGCAGTAACGCTCGGAAGCTGACATTTTTCTCCTGTTTGGCAACTGGAAAAATTTGCAGGAGAGAGAGAGAGAGAGAGAGAGAGAGAATTCTAAATGAACGGGCCTGATTGAAGCGTGGGAAACAAAATAAGCATTTTATTAATTAGAGTTTTAATATTCATCTTCTATCAGAATAGAATCATATGCTTTAACATCTGTTGCATCTGTTAGGATTCAGTAGACACCAATAATCTTTCTTGTTAATTCCTAATTTTTTTTTTTTTTAATGTGTTTGATATGAAGAGTTTCAGTGCACAAGTGTATGCAACGTATCATTAATTACTATAACACGGCGACCTTATTTATTAGTAAATAAATAAGCATTTAGTTTAAAAAATTGCCATATTTCCCTAC